ACAGAGAAGGCAGTGATGTCCTCTGAAAAGAAATGAGTATATCCAGGCTGGAAAAGGTAACTCTGGGAGGCAGCCTTCTCAAAACACCTGAAAGGATTCATGGTGTCTCGTGGTCCTGCATATAGAACATGGAATGAGGGACTTGCAGGCAGATGAATGCTAGAAGAGCCTTCTCTCAAACATCCCAAAGGTGCTTTTTCAGAAGGCAACTGGACTTCGTTTTTTTTTTGTTGTTGTTGAAGACATTTCGCCTTTCATCCAAGAAGCTTCTTCAGCTCTGACTGGCTGGTGATGGGGAATGGAAGATTTATACTCTTTGCAGACAGCTGGTCATTTGCATCCTTTTAGAGAGTCGTTGAGGCCAGTTGTAGGTTTCTCTGTGTCCTCAGGATCACCTGAGTGGTGCAAATGGTTCTTGCCGTCTGCAATTATTCTCTCTGGAAATCCATTCCTACTCCCACACCATTCAAAGAGTCTTCATCCCAAATTGTACAATTAAAAGTCTGTAGAGCTTCTCAGTCGTCCAGGTCCTGGTTGTCCCAAAGGTGCTTTTTCAGGAGGCAACTGGACTTTCTGGTTTTTCTTTGAAGACGTTTCACTTCTCAGCGAAATCCTTCCATTTTCCACCATCCAGTCAGAGCTGAAGAAGCTTCTTGGATGAGAAGCAAAACATCTGTCGGGGTTCCAAAAAACAACCCCAACGAAATAAAACTCCAAGGCAATAGATTCCTCAAAAGTTCTACTTTGTTAGAGATGTCATGTTGGCACATCTGGGAAAACCCGAATCTGAAGCTTCCATGTTTCCCCCACCCAGTTGAAAGTTCACAACTCTGCTGCACACCCACAAGATCATCGCATGGTCCAATCCATTCCCAGCCACTCCCATCCAGGCGCAGGCAAATGTCCTTGACTCCCAGAGTAAGGAATGTTGTAGCTAAGTTTCCACCACTCCAACAAAATACCCCCTCCCAATTTCCCAGGCTAAAATAATGTGGCAGTCAGGAAGCTAAAAGAAAAAATGGCTTCCAAAAATGATTCAACATCTTCAAAGAAAAAACCAAGACGAGTTGCCTCTTTGAAAAAAAAAACATCTTTAGGTCAACCATGACTGAGAATCTCTACAGGCCTTCTTCTCAAACAATTAAGAGCAGTTTGACTATGGGGCCTATGACCCAGAGGGAAATTAGAGGGCTGGAGGCTAAAATCATGATGAACAGTTGCAAGAACTGGGTATGTCTAGGCTGGTGTTGTGGCTCCGTTTCCTGAGCCTGGGCTATCGACAGATGCAGACTCTGAGAGTGAGGGAGAGGAGTTGGCAAGGCCTCCCTCTCCAGGACCCTCCTCTCCGAAGGCCAAGAGATAGGCCCAGAGCCAAGCACGTCCCCGCAGCCACAGGTGGACAGCGACAAAGGAGATAAGTGCTGGCTGGATCCTCGACAGCGGCGCAGGGAGAAGCGTGCGCAGCAGAGGGGAAGGCGTGCCAGAGATTAGCTGAGTCACTGGACCACACCCTACAGGGTATAAATGTGGGTGTGGTGGCCGGTTCAGTTTGTGACGAGCAAAAACTAGAAATAATCCATGATCTCTGTGTTACTGGACTTCTGCCTGCCTTGTTGGACTGCATTTGGACTAATCCTTGTATTGCTGAAACTTTGCCTGCTTTATCGGAATGCTTGCAGTCTAATCTTTGTTTTGTGTGAGTAAAGTCTGAATTGGCAGCTAGCCACTGGGTTGCTGCCAGCTTTATCTTCAAAGACTTTGTCGTGTGGCTTATTAACTCCGGGCCGTCTGTGGGGATGCGTGTGTGGGACAGGGACAGAATAGCTGGTGAAAAGGAGAACTAGCAGTGACATGATAGCAGTGTTCCAATATTTGAGGGGCTATCAAAGAAGAAGGGGACAACCTATTCTCCAATGCACCTGAGGGCAGGACAAGACGTAACGGATGTAAAATTATCAAAGAGAGATCCAAACTAGAATTAAGGAGAAATTTCATGTCAGTGAGAACAATTAACCAGTGGAACGGCTTCCCTCCAGACATTGTGGGTGCTCATTCACTGGAGGCCTTCAAGAAGAGACTGGACAACCATTTGATTGGGTTGGTATAGGGCCGTGATGGCTAACCTTTTTGCCATCGCGTGCCAGGAAGGGGGGGGTGGGGGAGGTTCACGCGTGCTCGTGCCCACACCCATAATTCTATGCGCCCCACCCCATGCATGTGCAAGCGAACCCCCTCCCCCCCGGCACGCAATGGCCCAGTAGGCCCGTTTTTCTTTCTCACCTGGCTCCAGATCCTCTCTATGCATCTGGGGAGAGTGAAAACAGCCTTCCACACACCCCTCAGAGGCCCTCCGGAGGCCCGAAACGGCCTGTTTTCCAACTCTTTGTTGGACAGGAAGTGACTTTTTTGCTGTCCCCAGTCTCCAGAGCCTCTCCAGGACTCTCTGGAGGCTGGGGACAGCAAAAAACATCACTTCCCGTCCAACAGAAAGTTGGAAAATGACAGTTTTGGGCCTCCAAAGGGGAGGGGAAGGCTGTTTTTGCCCTCCCCAGATGCAAAGAGAGGATCTGGAGCCAAGTGTGAAAGAAAAACGGGCCTTCCCCACCCACACAGGCCCTCCGGAGGCAGGAAACAGCCTGTTTCCCTATTTCTGGTGGGCCCAGAAGGCGCGTGCCAGAGCTGAACTGGCGTGCCAGGGGACATGGCTCTGCGTGCCACCTGTGGCATGCGTGCCATAGGTTCGCCATCACAGGTATAGGGCCATGATGGCAAACCTATGGCACATGTTCCGGAAGTGGCACACAGAGCCATCTCTATGGGCACGTGAGCCGTCGCCTGTTGCTGTGCCGGATTCTGGCACGCCGGCCAGCTGGTCTTCACACGTGCTAGAAACCAAACGACCAAGTGGCCAGCGGGCATGTGCATGCTGGAAACCGGAAGATCATCTTCCCGGTGCGCGTATGCACACCGGGTGGCTTCTCTTCCAGTTTCTGGCACATGTGTGCTCATGCGCGCGTGCCCCCATTTTGGCATTTGGTGCTGAAAAGTTTCACCAATACTGTCCTAGCTAGAACTTAGTTGTTTTTTCTTTGTCTCTTCTCACCAAATCTTTCAAAACTTTAATGGGTCTCCTTTGCAAATCCAACATAACGAAATTGTGTTGCGGTATTCCAGGTGTGGCCTTACTAGGGTTTTGTAAAGCGGTACTAATACTTCACGTGATCTTAATTCTATGCCTCTGTTTATACAAACCAGGATTGTATCAGCTTTTTTTGGTTGCTGCTGCACACGGCTGGCTCATATTCAAGTGATCGTCCACTAGGAGTCTAAGGTTCCTCTCTCCCAGTTACTGATTTTGAGCCAGGTCTCACCTAATCTGTACTTTTACCTTTGATTTTTCCTGCCTAAATGTAAAACTTTGCTTTTCTCTACATTGAAATTCATTCAAAGGGCTTTTGGGGTTACAGCTGAGAGGTTAGGAAAACCTGTCTTTATGCGACCTACAAATAAAACCTACAATCGTTAGCATGTTGGTACAAGGGTGTCATCTTCATTGTAGCAGGATGTGGTTCCTGCTGTGCACAGGGTTATCCTGATGGACCCTGGATAAAGATTTGTGGTATAGACACCAGGTGGACATCTGTGGAGGGAAGCAAGCTGCCAGGAGAGCTGGTTGAATGTTTCTGCATTCCTCTGTTGAGAGAACACACTGTCTGCTTTTCGTTTAACATCTGTCCCCTAGGGAGGCCTCCTGCTTTGTATGCAAATTACATTTAAAGTGATTTAATCAAGCAATTAATCAGTTCAAAGGCAGGCATTAAACCGCTGCAGTTTCTGAATTGTGTGGCACAAGGACTGGATTCACACAACACACTAGGTAGGGAAAACTGGGGGTTCTTGTGATTGTTTGATGGGAAATCAGGCTTTCAAGCAGAGATTGGACAGAGTGATCTCCTGCTTCAGCAGTGGGTTGGACCAGAAGATCTCCAAGGTCCCTTCCAACATTTATTTTATGTTATTGTCAGCACTTCAAACTGCATTTACTCTAGTGCTGACATAAGAAGGAGAACGGAGGCGTCTGGAAAGGGACATTTGACTTTTCACCTACTTATTTTCCCTGGAGATAATATCCCCTAGGAGATGGGATGGGAGGGGGAAATTCCTCTGAGCTGGAGCAGTAGATTAGGGGTAGAGTGACTTGGAAGATGGCCAATGAGTGCAGGGGAGTGGGGAACGGAAAGGGAGGGTTTTGGGTCTGGAAGTCAGTGTTGGCTTCGATGGAGTCGGATTTTAGAATGTCGTGCTTAATAAATAGGAGTTTTCCTTCAAAGACTTTGTTTGAAATGCAATTTATTTGAGACGACCTCGAAACCTGACAGTTATACTAGGAATGAATCCTAGCCAGAGCGTTCCATCACAACCCAAAGGTGAAGATGCTCCCAGTTAAACTTTTAATTGCACTTCTTAGCTTTCTTAAAAGGGACGCGGTGGCTCAGTGGCTAAGATGCTGAGCTTGTCGGTCAAAAGGTTAGCAGTTCAGCGATTCGAATCCCAAGTGCCGCGTAACGGGGTGAGCTCCTGTGACTTGTCCCAGCTTCTGCCAACCTAGCAGTTCGAAAGCACGTAAAAAAAATGCAAGTAGAAAAATAGGGACCACCTTTGGTGGGAAGGAAACAGCGTTCCGTGCGCCTTTGGCGTTGAGTCATGCCGGCCACATGACCACGGAGACGTCTTCGGACAGCGCTGGCTCTTCGGCTTTGAAACGGAGATGAGCACCGCCCCCTAGAGTCGGGAACGACTAGCACGTATGTACGAGGGGAACCTTTACCTTTACCTAGCTTTCTTACTGGTCTTTCACTAGCCCCATCTGGCTTAGCTTCTGAGACCAGCCAAGGCATACCAGGTGGCACCACCCTCCATTGCAACCAGGGACGTCTGGACTGGTGCCTTGTAGCTGTTGGAACGTGCTGACCCCCTTCGCTTTGTTTCTCTCCTATCAGAGCCGCCTTCCTGGCATCAAAGTGAAGTACCTCTTCTTTGCCTGGCTGGGCATTTTTGTGGGCAGCTGGATGGTCTACATGCATTATTCCTCCTACTCCGAGCTCTGCCGGGGACACGTCTGCCAAGCGATCATTGTGAGTGTTTCTCTTGGGAGGGGCTCCTCCGGCCAGCAGAGAAGTGAGGGCAGGGCAGCTTCCAGAGGGACCACAACACAGCAAACCCTCTGTAGTTGAAGCAATGATTCCTTTGCTTTATTAGGAGCGCCAGCAGTCCCGGCAAAAAGTTTCTCTCTCACACAGCAGGCTAACAAGTCTGGCCAGCCGGAAGATGAATAGTTGTCTGCCACACCTATTCATCTCCGCCCCCTGCCTTTTATCCCCAGAGCTAGGGTTTATTTATTTATTTATTAGTCCAATTTATATGCCGCCCTTCTCCGTAGACTCAGGGCGGCTTACAATGCATTATAGCAATAGCCTGCATACTTTGTTGTATATACCTGCTTATTAGGGCTTTCGGGGGGCCCCTAAGCTTCTTTATACAAAGTCAGCTTATTGCCCCCACAATCCAGGTCCTCAGTTTACCTACTTCGAAAGGATGGAAGGCTGAGTCAACCTTGAGCCTGGTGAGATCCGAACTTGCACTAATTGCAGGCAGCTGGCAGCTAACTGCTAGCACTTAAGAGCACTTTAGTCCGCTGCACCACCGAGGCTCTTATTGGTTGGGCTTCACTAGCAGTGGTGGCTCTTCCGTCCCAAGGACCAGCCCATAGATTTCCACTGCTCTCCTCTCCTCTGCCTTCTGTGCATCCGCGTGTCAGGCACTGGACCCAGCTGTTCCTCCTCTTCCTCATCCTCCAGACCTGGGAGCTGTTGACTCTCCTTCTGAGGGCTGACGGACGGCCAAGGCTCCGCCTCTGTCTCTCTCTCACACTCTGCCAGCTCCATTCCCTCTCCCGCTCTCAGATTGCCTTGATGCTGACCCTGACTCCCACGTCTCCTCCTTCTCTGATTCGGCTACTGGAGGGGCCATTATATAATAAGGAAGAAATTCCTTATTATAAGGACTTGAGGACCTGTATTTAATAACTAATAAATTGCCCAGAGTCCTTTTTTTTTTTAATTGATGGGAAGCAGTTTTTCAGTATTGTTAACTGGATAAAATATTCGTAGCCTGAGTTTATAAAGACAGGAAGTGCTCCTGATTCCTCATCATCCCAGCCAAAGAGATGCTCAGGGTTTCCCTCTCTCTCTCTCTTTCAGTGCGATCAATACAACAAAGGCATCATTTCGGGATCAATGTGCAAAGACCTTTGTGAGGACCACACCTTGGTGTTTGAACACTGCTTGTCACCTTCTCCCACCCAGCAGGTAACGTGCTTTACGCTGAGGACAAGTTCCTTGTTTCGGACAGGGGCTGGGCTGTCTCTGGAAAAATGTGAAAAATTTGTTTTTTTCAGAAAAAATAACTTCAGAGAACTGGAAGAAAAGGTAGCCTGGTTGATATGGAACTCTATCCAAGATAATATTATCTTGGAATTTCTAAGAGAACTGAAATTCTCTGGGTTTTTGGCATGTCTGTGTAGTGTGGGAGCTTTCGTGATCTCTTCTCCAGGGTTACATCTGAAATCTTGCCCTTAAAAAGACTGCCATGGCATAATACTATCTTACAATATTTGACGGGCTGCCACAAAGAAGAGGGGGTCAAGCTATTCTCCAAAGCAGGGTTCACCAACCTTTCGGACCTCAGGAACCACTAAATTCATAATTTTAAATCCCGTGGACGACTAATATGATCTGCCTAATGACCGGCTGGGTGGGCGTGGCTAGGTAGTCATGTGACTGGGTGGGTGTGGCCAACTCAATGTTACTGACATCAAGGGGCACCTCGCCAGCCTCTACTCGCCCCTCCCTCCCAGCCACTCCTCGCCTGCCCGCCCAGGCTCCTTAGGGCCCCAACAGGAAGCAGTTGTTGGAGCTAAGCATGAGAAAGAGTTGGCAAAACAGCTCAGCTCAAATTGAATCTGACCGAGAAGGAGGCTCAGCAGAAGCACCTCACTGAGGACTAGGAGCATAGGCTTTCCAAGCAGAGGGAACACCTGCGGGAATGCAAGGCCAGGTACTGGCACATGGAGGCTCAGCAGACTGAGATGGTCAGCCACTTCCAGGCCATGATGCAGTCCCACTGGAACGAGGCCCTCCGGCTCTTCGCCACCAGAGGCGCTTCCCTCCAGCCTTCGCCCAAAGCCCTGGCACCAGGAGGCCGAAGCAGACCCCAAGTCGGAATTTCTTCCCCCCCTCACCTGCACAAAAAGACCCCGAAGGGGGAGACTCTCTGCAGCAACACAAACATTCATTGCACATATCTGTCCCAGGGGCTGTAATTTGGGGATCCCTGATTTAGCACAATATAAAAAATGCAAATAATTTTTCTGTGGACCACCAAAATTTTCTCACGGACCATCAGTTGGTGACCCCTGCCCCAAAGCACCTCAAGGCAGGACAAGCAACAATGGATGGAAACTCATCAAGGAGAGAAGCAGCCTAGAAATAAAAGAGAAATTTCCTGACAGTGAGGACAATTAAGACAGTGCAACAACTTGCCTCCAGAGGTTGTGGCTGCTCCATCACTGGAAGTTTTCAAGAAGAGATTGGAGAGCCATTTGTACAGAATGGTGCAGGGTCTCTTGCTTAAGCAGGGGGTTGTGTTAGAAGACCTTTAAGGTCCCTTCCAACTTTGTTATAATGCTATTCTATTTGTTAAAAAAAAGTTAATATTCAGGGTCTACAGCTGTTTATTTGTTTATTTTATTTATTTATTTATTTTATTGGATTTGTATACCGCCCTTCTCCAGCAGGACTCAGGGCGGTGAACAGCCGAGATAAAACAGAGCATACAAAATTTAGAAAACAGTTTAAAAGGTAATTAAATAATTTTGGCCCACAATTTAAAACAACCCAATTAAAACCAATTTCAAATTAAAACCGAAACGGATGGGATCAAGCCAGCCCGGCTAGGTGAAATAAATGAGTTTTCAGGGCCCGACGAAAAGTCCGGAGGTCTGGTATCATGCGTATCTCTAGGGGGAGGTTGTTCCAGAGGGCGGGTGCCGCTCTCCCTCTGGGGGTCGCCAGCCGACATTGTCTGGCGGACAGCACCTTGAGGAGACCCTCTCTGTGTGAGCGAACTGGCCGGTGGAAGGCTATTTGCGACAGAAGGCGGTCTCGTAGATACCCCGGCCCTAAGGCATGGAGCGCTTTAAAGGTGGTCACCAACACCTTGAAGCGCACCTGGAAGACCACCGGGAGCCAGTGCAGCTCCTGCAGGAGAGGTGTCACACGGGAGCGCCCCATCGCTCCCATAATCCCCCGCACAGCCGCATTCTGGACCAGCTGGAGCCTCCAGGTGCACCCCAAGGGGAGCCCCATGTAGAGAGCATTGCATAGGGATATCATAGAAATCCAGATGCTCAGAGTAACCTGTCACTGATCCCTGGTTTAAATTACATATGAAGTAGGACAGGATGAGGCAGAAGCAAGTTGGATCTGAGAGGTCCCCAAGTGGGAGGAAATCTATACAAGGAGTCCTTGACTTTTTCCCTCCTCAGGGAAACCTCAAATCTGAAAATGAAGTGGTTTTTCTGCTTTCCAGAGCCAGGGGAACTTGAATATGTGTTTGTTTTTTTTTTCAAATTGGAGCTCACCTCAAAACTCAAGTTTTCTGACTGAATTGAGTTCTATCACCAATTCTGAGATATGTCTTGGGACAGTGATGGCGAAACTTTTTGCCGTCGCATGCCAAAAGCGGGGGTCACGCAGGGGGTCGCACACGGGTGTGCCCACACCCATAACTCTCACACCCATAACTCATAACCGATCTACCTCCAGAGATACGAGTGATCTCAGACCTCCAGACTTTTCGTCGGGCCCTAAAAACTTACTTTTTTCAGCTAGCCGGGCTGGCCTGATTCCATGTTGGTTTTAACGTTGATATTGATTTTAATTGATATGTTTTAAATTATGGGCCAAATTCTATTTAACTAGTTTTAAATAATTTATTTTAACTTTTGTACAAATGTTTTTTATTTTGGCTGTTCACCGCCCTGAGTCCGAAAGGAGAAGGGCGGTATACAAATTTAATAAATAAATAAATAAATAAATAAATAAATAAATAAATAAATAAATAAATAAATAAATAAATAAATAAATAAATAAATAAAATCTCAATGCACCCTGCGCATTGAGTCCCCCCACTTTTGGCACGTGATGGCCCGGTAGGCCCGTTTTTCACCCCCCTAGGCTCCAGAGACTTTCTAGGAGCCTGAGGAGGGCAAAAACTGCCTTCCCCACCGGGAGGTCCTCTAGAGGCCGGAAACGGCCCATTTGCTGACTTCCGGTGGGCCTGGAAGGCCCGAAAATCAGCTGGCCAGTACGCGCATGCGTGCTGGAGCTGAACTAAAGTAACACTCGCGTGCCCACCAATATGGCTCTACGTGCCACCTGTGGCACACATGCCATAGGTTCGCCATCACAGCCTTGGGAAAGCTCGGATCTGAAAATGAAGTGTTTTTTCTCCTTTCCAGAGCCAGGGGAACACTAAAAAAGGGGCTTGTGACACAGATTCAAAGTTCTGTCATCCTTCTCTCCATGATCATGTGATTGCATTTGGGGCATTCGGCAACCAGCCCCCATTTATACAGTGTCAAATCTCCAAGTAACATGCCCCAAAAGATAAAATCCAAAGCATCCATCTTCCTTTAAAGATCTATTTATTAGGTGCACATTAAACTGGCAAGGACTTCGTGTAATTCCGACTCTGAACCGGCTCTGGAATTACACCCAATAAAAGCAAAACTATGAAACTTGCCCCCCCTTAGCCACAATCTCCAATCAATTCCCAGTCCAACAGTCCGGTGACTTCAAACTCCACCTTCGGCCAGCTGCAGGCCTCTTCTCTGTTCCCACGGGAAAGGAATGCCACCTAGACATAACATTCCCCCTTTATCTTTACAATCCCCCTTGCAACAGTTGGAAAGTAGCGAGCCTGAGGTAGTATTAAATTTTACACTTACAAACCTAATGTCAGGTTTCGATGCTATCGCAAAATAAATGAACTTCAAAACTGCTGATCTTTAAGGAAATGTTCTCTTTATTTGAGCACAGCGATCTGATCCTGACTCTTTCGCGGTCAGGACTGACCTTTGCCCCCCAATCCCTCCCTTTCCGATCCCCAATTCTCTGCTTCTCATTGGCTATCTTCCAAGTCACTTTCCTGATCTCTTCTTCGTCAGATCACAGGAATGTCTCCCCCCTCTCCCATCTCCGAGGAGACAGAATCTTCAAAGGGATTTAGTAGGCAAAAGTTCAAGCTTCTCCTCTCTTTATTATATGTCAGTGCTGGGACACTGACACCTAAAAGCTAATAGAAAAAAAGCAAAATGAAAGCTTCAATAAAATATGGCTACACATATGTCATCTTCAGGGTCGACATACAGGGAAACAGTCCAGTGGTGGATTTCAAAAATTTTTACTACCTGTTCTGTGGGTGTGGCTCGGTGGGCATGGCATGGCATGGATTGGTGGACATGGCTTTGTGGGCATGGCAAGGGAAGGATACTGCAAAATCCCCATTTCCTCCCGATCAGCTGGGACTTGGGAGGTAGAGAATAGATGGGGGCGGGGCCAGTCAGAATTTTTACTACCGGTTCTCCGAACTACGCAAAATTTCCACTACCTGTTCTCCAGAACTGGTCAGAACCTGCTGAAACCCACCTCTGAAACAGTCGCGTGACTGTGATTCGCAGGTTTTTTTTCTAGAAACCAGCATGTACTTTCCGTTTTTTGCAAAAAACAATGCCCCATAGTGTACAATGGGTTCAATTAACAACCGCTACATTTTCTTTACAACTGGCATGTTCATTTAACGACGGCCACATTACAAAAAGTCATAAAATCAGGCACGGTCACCTGATGACACCCACTTTGCAACTGTCAGGACTTACCAACCAAAATTCTGGGCTCAATCACAGTCGTAAGTCGGGACAGTGTACATTGTAAGTCTCTAGCTGCTGAGGTTAAGGTAACTAACACAGTTCCCAGGCACCATTTTTGTTGTGTCTTGCAGGTCTACAGCGGCCTCTGGAAAGAGAAAGAGGTGATTATCAAATGCGGCCTGGAAGAAGCCCTGAAGGCCGACAGCAACCCAGATACAGACCCTAGGAGAGACGTGGTCCTCTTCAACAAGCCAACAAGGGGGACTTCCATGGATGAATTCCGGGAGATGCTTCTGAATTTCTTGAAAGTGAGTGGCCTCTCCATTCCCAGGAGACGACCTTTGAACCGCCTCCGAAGGGGCCGACTCGCACATGCATTTGTAGCTCACAATGTGGCAGGCTGTCCCTTGCCACAGAATGTGTGAGCAGATGGGCAGAGGAGCGCGTTGAGTTGTCTTTCACTGTGAGTTGTATTGTGTCGGTGGGGTGCACAAAGGACGGCTCAGCCAATCTCATAGTACCCTGTTTCCCCGAAAATAAGACCCAACCGGAAAATAAGCCCTAGCATGATTTTTCAGGATGCTCGTAATATAAGCCCTACCCCAAAAATAAGCCCCAGTTAAGATCCTCAAACAGAAGGAGGAGTTTAGTACTGTATTTCCCCCAAAATAAGACCTAACCAGAAAATAAGCCCTAATGCATCTTTCGGAGCGAAAATTAATATAAGACCTGGCTTTATTTTAGGGGGAACACGGTACACATGTTGTACTTTGACAATAAAGGTTTGAATTTGAATTCAAATTCAGAGAGAAGGCCTTTTTAAGGGGGGCTGCAACTGCCCCATGGAAGGAGGAGCTTCCAGATTAAAGGGCCATCTTGGAAATGATGAAATGATCCATCTCTTTCATCCAAGACTGCAGGATGAGACAGTTAGAAACAAGCCCAGGGTTGCTTCATTATGCAATTCAAGGAGATATTGTCACCTTCAAAGTCTTGTCTGGCGCAGGGCCAGGCTGTCTCTACGACCGCCTCTCCCTGGGAATTTCTGCCGGCTCCATCAGGCTGGATGAAGTGGGAGAACTCCAGCACCCGCCTCTCATCTATTAGGACTTGGTTAGTGCTCCCTCTCCACTGTGGCCCTCGTTCTGTGCAACCCCCCCCCCCCAGATCCCACCCTTTAGGAAGACCTTTAAAAAGTTGGCTTCTTCCCAGGAATCAGGTGGGATCCTGGGAGGTGGAGCCCAGGCACTGTGGATATCTATGCATCAGGGAATGTTGTTGTAGGGTGCCAGCTTTTTTGGAGATGTTGAATTTTTGGGTTGTGTGTTGTGTGTTTATTGTGTGTTTTTTTGTTATTATTGTTGCCGTGAGCCACCCATAGGTAGAAAAAACGGGCATCCATGTAAATTTCTTAAATAGATACATCCCTCTTTTATGTGCCACAGATTTCAACTAACATAAGAACAGTGGGGATAAAATGGTTTGGAGCCGGAGGAAGCCTATCTGGCATCTAGTAGGACAGGTAGAAGCCATCTGGGATAAGAGGTCTTCAAATAACTTGGCCCTGAGGGCTCTCAAGGTGAAAACAGAGCCAAGCTCCTCTTCATTCCATCATTTGGCAAATACCCGTGGTTAACAGTTCCTCTCAGCTTTCAAAGTCTCCCCAAGCCACAAACAGTTGTCCAATTTGGGTTTGGCTAGTGTTGAGAAAAGAAGAATTAGGGGTGACATGATAGCAGTATTCCAGTATTTGAGGGGCTGCCACAAAGAAGAGGGGGGCAAATTATTTTCCAGAGGCAGGACAAGAAACGATGGATGGAAACTGATCAAGGAGAGAAGCAACCTGGAATTAAGGAGAAGCTTCCTAATGGTGAGAAAAATTAACCAGTGGAACAGCTTGCCACCAGAAGTTGTGGGTGCTTCATCAGTGGAGGTTTTTAAGAAGAGACTGGACAGATTAACAGAGTTGGAAGGGGCCTTGTAGGTCATCTAGTGCAACCCCCTGCCCAAGCAGGAGACCCTACACCATTTCTGACAAATGGCCATCCAATCTCTTCTTGAAACTCCTGGGGATGAAGCTCCCACAACTTCGGAAGGCAACTTCTGTTCCATGGGTTGATTGTTCTCACTGTCAGAAAATTTCTCCTTATTTCCAGGTTGAATCTCTCCTTGATCAGTTTCCATCCGTTGTTCCTTCTCTGGCCTTCGGGTGCTTTGGAAAATAGCTTGACCCCCTCCTCTCTGTGGCAGCCCCTCAAATATTGGAACATTGCTCAAATATTGGAATATTGGGCAGCCACTTGTCTCAAATGGCATAGGCTCTCCTGCTTGAGGAGGGGGTTGGACTAGAAGACCTCCAAGGTCCCTTCCAGCTCTATCCTACTGTAAATGTTCCTCCCTGCTGTTCCATGTTGTAATGTGAGGTCCTCACAAGATGTCTTGGGTTGCTCTTTCTTTTCACAGGCTGGCCTTGGGGATCAAGCCTCCCTCACCAATTTGGTGAGCCAGATTATCGCCATGGCCGACGTCAGTCGGGACGGGAAGCTTTCTTTGGCCGAAGCGAAATCCATCTGGGCCCTTCTGCAGCTGAACGACTTCCTGCTGACCTTCTCCCTGCACGAAAAGGAGCATACCCCCAGGCTCTTGGGGCACTGCGGCGATCTGTATCTCACAGAGAAGATCCACCACACCTCCCTTCACACCATGGACTTTCCTCCCTTCCTGCAACCGCTGCTGCCTTCCGCCGTCCTCAGAGTCATCCGCCAGTGGTTCTCCCCCGCTTGGCCCCGGCGAGCCAAAATCGCCATTGGACTTCTGGAATTCGTGGAGGAGATCTTCCATGGGACTTACGGCAACTTCTACATCTGCGAGGCCAGCTTCACCAACATGGGCTACAATAACAGATACGACTTCAAAATGGTGGACCTGAGGACAGTGGCCGCGGAGATGACCATCCAGAGGTTCCTTAAGGGCCGTCACTGCGAGCAAAATACGGACTGCACCTACGGGAAGGACTGCGTGGCGCCGTGCGATAAGCTCATGAAGCAGTGCAAGAGCGACGTAGTCCAGCCCAACCTCGCCAAGGTGTGTCGGCTCTTGCTGGAGTACCTGCTGCACGGGGCCCCGAGTGACTTGAAGGAGGAGCTGCAGAAGCAGCTGAAAACGTGCACCACGCTCAGCGGGCTGGCCAGCCAAATGGAGGTGCACCACTCGCTGGTGCTCAACAGCCTCAAGACTCTCTTGTGGAAGAAAATTTCCAACACGCAATATTCCTAGAGGCCCCTGAGAAGCCCAAGGACAAGGCCGGGGGGGCGGCTCCCCTCTTCCCAACTCGGTCTAAGGCAGTGTTGGCGAACCTTTTCGGCACGGGGGAGCGCCAGAAACCAGAAGAGCAGCTCCCCAGCGCACGCGCACGGTGCATCGGAAACCGGAAGAGCAGTCATGCGCGCGCTGGGAAGCTGAGTTTCCGGTTTTCAGCGGGCGCATGTGCACCAGTCACCTGGTCTTGTGGTTTCTGGCGTGCATGCACGCATGAAGACCCGGTGCGCCTGTGCATGCTGGAAATCGGAAGAGCAACGGGCGACGGTAGGCATGCCCGGCAAGGTGGCTCTGCGCGCCACAGACGGGAGAGAACTTTGGAATGGGAAGGGATGAAAAAGAAAAGCAGTTTTTGTGGAACTGACAGGGATCTCCAGGTGAGTGTAGCCGGGGTGAGGAGAGGACAATTGTCTATCTGATGTAAATAAATGGTCTCTCTCTCTCTCTTGCTCTTGTGCATTCTGCTTCAAGGACATGGCTGATCCTTCGCTGGGGGAGCCAGTTCAAAACAAAGGTTGAACATCCTCTGTGAGAGCCATGCTGCCAACTCTCAGGCTGGCTTCAAACAACTATAATTTTATCATATGTGGATTTCAATTCCTTTAGTTAACTGAAATGCATCAGCCAAAAATAAGGTTAATCCAACAATCAGGTTTATTGTGTGATGAAGTCAAATGCTGGCAGTTGTCTGATCAGACACCCGTTCCTTGCAGTGAACTGAAAAATTAAGTTCCTTAGCTTCAGGAGACAGGCTCTCTTTCAGCTCAGTAGCAGGCCACACGTTCACCAGGCCCTAAATAGACTAATCCGGTGTATGGTATCCATTGCTGATAGAGACTACTTAGAGTTTGCAGATTAACAGCGTTGGAAGGGACCTTGTAGGTCATCTAGTCCAACCCCCCCTGTCCAAGCAGGAGACCCTACACCATTTCTGACAAATGGTAGCCCAGTCTCTTCTTGAAAGCCTCCAGTGATGAAGCTCCCACAACTTCTGAAGGCAACTTCTGTTCCACAGGTTGATTGTTCTCACTGTCAGAAAATTTCTCATTTCCAGGTTGAATCTCTCCTTGTTCAGTTTCCATCCATTGTTCCTTGTCTGGCCTTCAGGTGGTTTGGAAAATAGCTTGAGCCCCTCCTCTGTGGCAGCCCCTCAAATATTGAAAGATGCTATCATGTCTCCCCTGGTCCTTCTCTTCACTAGACTAGCCATGCCCTGTACCTGCAGCCATTCATTGTATGTTTTAGCCTCCAGTCCCCTCATCATCCTCTTTCATCATCATGCTCTTCTCTGCACTCTTTCTAGAGTCTCAACATCTTTTTTTATAATGTGGTGACTGAAACTCGATGGCAGTATTCTAGGTGTGGTCTTACTAAGGTTTTATAGAGTGGTATTATTACCTCACATGATCTTGATTGTATCCCTCAGTTGATGCAATTTAGGATTGCATTGACTTTTTTGGCTGCCGCCGCACACTGTTAGCTTGCTCAAAGCGACAGGAGGAATTCTACACACGACAGAAAAATATTGGCTTTGCCTCCAGGCTGACCACAGACTCAGACTTTTCAACCTCAACCACCTATGGTGCTGGCCTTCACATATATTTTAAAAAGATGACCGCTCTAACTTCCTGTCCTGGAAGGAAGCAGAGCTGAGCCAGCTGTAGACGTAATCTTTGTTGAGTGAGACGTACCCGATTTTATAACCTTTTTTTTGCAGTGGTGAAATCCAAATTTTTTTACTACTGGTTCTGTGGGCGTGGCTTGGTGGGCATGGTATGGCTTGGTGGGCGTGGCAGGGGAAGGATACTGCAAAATCTCCATTCCCACCCCACTCGGGGGCCAGCCAGAGGCGGTATTTGCTGGTTCTCTGAACTACTCAAAATTTCCGCTACCGGTTCTCCAGAATCTGCTGGATTTCACCCCTGCTTTTTTTGCCACCATTAAGCAAATCGTTCGAGTTGTTAAATGAATTGGGCGATTCTTAAATGAAGCTGCCAAATTGCAGGCAGCCAGCAGGCAGCAGAAGCAGCCTGCAGCACTGCACTCTAACCACTGCGCCACCGTGGCTCACCTAACCTTAGGATGTGGTAACTATCATAAATGCAAGCTGGTTGATAAGTGCCTGAATTATGATCATGTGACAGGGTGCATTCGTAAGTATGAGGACAGTGGGGTTACTGTCCATCTAGGCATTCCTCCCAATCCTTGGATGAGGTGGCCCATCACCAGGCCCAGAGCCTAAACTACTAAACAGTAGTTTAGTGGACTAAACTGCTGTTAAAAGTAGTATTTAGCTGCCAGCTGCCTGCAATTACTGCAAGTTCAAATCTCACCAGGCTCAAGGTTGACTCAGCCTTCCATCCTTCCAAGGTAGGTAAAATGAGGACCCGGTTTGTGGGGGCAATAAGCTGACTTTGTATAAAAAAGAACACCGCTTAGGGGGGGCCAAAAAGCCCTACTAAGCAGGTATATACAAAAGTATGAAGACTAATTGCTTAAAAGCATTGTAAGCCACCCTGAGTCTCCGGAGAAGGGTGGCATATAAATCAAACTAATACATAATACATACATACCTTCTGGGCTCTCCTCTGTGCCTGCAGGATTGAGTTTAAACTTAAATTTGTGACTGCATATGGAATGGTACCAGCTGTTAAAATAAGGCATTCAGACATGCTCAGCTCACCCCACTCAAGGGTACAGATCAGGAGTGGGTTCTAAAATGTTTTACTACCGGCACCGGTCTACCCAATTGTTTTCCGAGCGCACTGGTCTACCACCACACTGCCTTTTAACACTGATCAGCTGTAGGGCAGCCCTTTGAAGCCCCACGGCAAGAGTTTAGATTTTTTCCTTCTAGCTGGGACTCGGGAGGCAGCGGAGATTGGGGGCAGGGCCAAATAAAAGGTAAGAATAACGTGGGGGGGGGGCAGCTCCCGAACAAAGAGAACCGGTTCAGTGACGTCATATCATACCGCTACCAGCTCGGCCGAACTGGGAGGAACCCACCACTGGTACAGATTATGCTGGGCTATTGTGGGGAAAATAGAAAGAGGAAGGAGTACAGGACAGGTAATCCTCGATTTACAAGTTTATTTAGTGACCTTTCTAAGTTACAGCAGCACTGAAAAGTCCTTTGTGACCCTTTTTCAGTTTTGACCATTGTAGCATCCCTGTGATCACGTGATTGAAATTCAGATGTTTGGCCATGGGTTTGTATTTATGACGGTCGTAGTGTCCCAGGCTTCTCTTTTTGCCACCTTCTGACAAGTCAACGGGGAAGCTAGATTCACTGAACAACAAACGGTGACAAGGAAGTTTGTAAAATGGGGCAAAACTCAAAAATGTTTCACTTAGCAACAGAAATTTTGGGCTCAGCTGTGGTCGTACGTTGAGGACTGCCTGTAGTATGCTTGCTGCCTTGAATTCCTTATAAATTAGTAAAAGCAGGATAAAAAATCTAATAAATAAACCAACTATTGGAGGATGGGCTTGTCAAGAGACTTTTGGAAAATTCTCTTGCAGCCAAAAGGCATTTTAGGGGGGACAAGGCTGTTGTTGGGGGATGCCTGTTCTCCCCCTTTCTTCAGGGACTGAGCTGGTGAGACCCATGTCAGTCCGGGGGGGGGGGGGGGGCAGTCAGGATGGAGCCCCATGTGAGCCAGCCACATTCACGGAAGCCATTGCAACCTCCCATCCCCTCTTGAAGCCTCCCCCTACCTAGAAAGAAGCCCAGGTAGGATAAGCACTGGGCCGATTCAAAACTTGCAGGAGTCATTGAGAACAGAGAGGCCATTCTGATTTGAGGAAAACTTTATTTGCAACTTCTTTATAATATTTCTCTTCTATTCTGCATTGGCCAGCTTTCATTAGGATACTGGATTTAATTCCAGAATGTATATTTGAGGAAGGACAATAAACCCAGGCCGGGCGAGGGGCGGATCTGCTGCCATCTCCCTTTTGGGTGGCTTCTGGGGCCGCTCCTGGATTCAATATTTGCAGTAAACCTGGAGGCGCCTCTGTCTTCAGACAGCTGCTCCGTACAGGTTAATCCCCCGGTTACAAGAATTCCTTTAGCGAACATTTGAAGCTACATGGTCAGCACCCCACTAGTATTTCCAAACAAGGCCCGAAATGACGAATCTTGCAGCTCCACAGCAGTTGTTCACCCATACAAACAACCAGAGAGAAAACAGCTTTCCCCATCTGAATAAAAGACCGGCTTCTCTGCCCCGAGTGCCTGCAGGTTAGTTTGGGCCCAGTCTGACCGGCAATAAGCAGTCTCCTGCTTGCTACTGACTGTCTAGTAGTTCAAATGAGATTGGCTGCTGCTGCTGGTGTCTCAATCCCTGAAGCTGTCTTGGAGCAGAAGGCTGCTGTGGCCCTGCCCAGGCCTTTTCTACTACCAGAAGCCTGCTGGACACACGGCCCCAAGCCGAAGTCTTTTCTCAGAAGCTGGCGAAAATGTTTTCCTTAGATTTCACATTCTTACAGCTTCGCCACCATCTGAATAAAACACTTTGGCTTCTCTGCAAGCGGGTCAGCCTCTTCTGGACCTTTTCAAAACGTAAGTAATCCATGGGAAATGGGATGGGGAGGAGTAAGTGGAATCCGGGACGCTAGCAAGGCAGGCGGGGCAAGATTGGGGGGGGGGGAGTAATTGTGGGGACCCCAGGAGAGTATGAAGTATTTCAGTGGATTCGAGGATGTCCCACATCTCTTCCCCACTCTGAGATACCTCATGTGCATTTAATGACCTGCTCATTCGATTAACAAATGCATTGGGGAAAGCAGGGAGTGATCACATTCATTTGACATGATTCAATCAAACGAATCCTTGGGTTACATTCATAACTCAAGGATTACCTGTATACCCTCCACTAAGCTCAGCTGACAAAGAAACTTAAAGAACACAAGCAAACTGGCGCTCTCAAGGAGGCTCAGAACATGGCTCACTCGAAATCACATTTCCCAAGTGATGATTCTCCAAAATGCACATTGAGGCTAGAGGAAAGCACCCATGCTGAATTGAAGTGAAACTGAAGATGAAGGTCACTGAAGGACGAATGGAGCCGGACTCCTTGGAAACCTTTCAGAACTGCATCCCATCTCGTTCCCGTCGCTTGCACCATGACGCTGCTGGCCAGAAGGAAGGAACATCAAATAAATTTCATACTAATTCTTTATAATAAAAGTGTTGCATTTCAATAAAATAAAAGAAACCCTGTCCAATAGGAATGCTGACCTCCATCTGCCAGTGATGCCACAACAGGAATCCTCCGTGGGTTAGGAGTTGGACTTCATGACTTCTCTGCTCCCTTGTAAGGCTCAGGACAAAACATCTTCATTTTGGCCCATGACTAGAAAAGTAGAGTCACATTACAGAATTGTCTATAAATATGTCTTCATTAAGTCATCAAGGAAGCAAGGCAAAATAAAGGAGGGATGAGAGATAAGTAAAACAACTAAAAGATGAAATGCTCCAGCTAAGTGCATATTGTTAACTTTTCTTCCTGTAAATGTTTCTTCCTTCTAGACCTATTAAAATTGCAAGAATTTTTGTGGCAGACGTTACATCGTAAAAACTACTCTGCAAAGATGCAAAAGAAAAACCTGTTTGCAGGTTTCTCTTCAGAGAAGGTACATAGAAATAGAGGCAGCAAATTTATAATAGAGGCATATATAAATATGAACACAGGCAGCAAATTTGAAACTTGTGAACTTCAACTCCCAGAATTCCCTAGCTAGCATGCCTGGTTGATGAGTTCTAGAAGTTGAAATCCAGTTCTTAAAAAGTTGCCAAGTTTGGACTTCAACACCTGTCTTGCCAGCATGGGTCAGGTCAGTTTTTGACTTGCTGAACTGAGGAAGACCGAAAGCAGTTGAGAAGAACCCATTGGAATTGAATTTCCATATTCAAAATGAAGCATTTTCTACTTCATTAACACCCCTTATAGGGCTCAGAAAATGAGCAAAAGAGAATAAAGGCTTCAAATCAACAGATCAAGACACTAAATTTTTTTTGGGGGGGGGGGAGAGGTGCTTAATTCAAATGTCCCTGTCTTAAATGCACAATCTGCCAAGAACAAATTTTGTCAAGTTATTGTAGCCTCCAAATTCATTTGAACGCTTATAACACTACAGTACAATCTTACCTTTCAGACCTCATTTTAAACATGTGTTGAAGAGTCAGGATCATGTCCCTATAAACAAAGTGGTTTAGTTAATTTGGATTCAAATCATTGTCCCAACGATTCGACAAAAACATGCTTTTTGAAAATTCCTAACATCGTGGATGAACAGAAACCTGTAAAATACTCTTTTTAAGGTTGACCTGCATTTTCTAAAGAGCAGTGACGTACTAGAAATGGCAGTGTTCCTATTCATCTGAAAAATAAGCTGAATTTAATACCCCTCGGAAACAGTTTACAAGTGTAGTCCTCTTCCTTTCTTGGCAGGCTCAAATATTGGGGATCAGACCCTGCAACCCCCACAAAGGATCAAAAGAAAATTTGCAAATTCTGTCAGGCTAGTAATCATTCTGAGTGCCCACCCATCAGAGCACTGAGCGTAGATCTAGCCTGCTTCTCTGTGCCACCTACTGACACAAACACAGCACAGGAGCCATGCCTGTAACGCCTCGTAGGGGCAGCCCCCAACCCCAGGAATGCCTTTGAGGAGGGGACAACCTGCAGGTGCCTCCCTTGCTTTAGTCACTGTACATATTTGCAGGTTGTTGTGACACAGTCTCTGCTCTTTTAAAACCTCTCATTTTGCTATGAAGCCTCAGCAGTCCCATCCTGTGAGCTGGCCTTACCAGCACTGCCAAGGCCTTGCTGCAATTTCCTTTTTCTGCAGAGGTTACTTCTGCAAAGGTGGTTTGCTGGAACAATTGCAGTGCAACCCCTGAATTGGGGGGCAAGGATCTCCCAGGACGTCAACAGACTCACCTCTGCTCAAGGGAGGACTCTCTTGGACCCATGGAGGCTTCTTAGCTCCAATCCTACAGTAGAATGAAAAGGGAGGAAAAAGTGAGTCCAAACCCACAATTGTTTATAATCCAAGTGGGGCTTCATAGCACAAACACTTGGAGAAGCTTAATTGCACCTGAAGGCCAGACAAGAAACAATGGATGGCAACTTATCAAGGAGAAATTCAAATTAAGAAATAAGGGAGACATTTTCTGAGAGAGAACCACCAACCAGTGGACGGACTCAGCTTCAGAAGTTGGAGGTCTTTTAAGATGAGACTGGACAGCCATTTGTCCAGGCAATGATGGTGAACCTTTTAGAGACCGAATGCCCAAACTGCAACCCAAAACCCACTTATTTGTCGCAAAGTGCCAACATGGCAATTTAACCTGAATACTGAGGTTTTAATTTAGAAAAAAACAACTCGTACATTAACATCTTTTGTCTTAAAAGAAAAACACAACAACAGAACTTTCAAATGATACAAACAACTTTTTATTGAAAGGTAAAAGTTTGCTTTTGAACAATTAATGTGATTTTTCCTGTTGTATGCATGCTGATAATTTGTCTAACCTTGGTGCATACATTGTAAGTTTGAGAGCAAGACATGCAGCACTCAAAGTCATTTTTCTGGTGTCAAACAGCTGCTCACAAGCATAAGATGAGCCAAACAAAGTCAGGAAAGCAATCCCAAGCGCTTTCATTGACTTAAAATTATTTGGCAGAGAATTCCACACTTTAAAGATTTCATTTTGGTGTCAAACAGCTGCTCACAAGCGTAAGATGAACCAAACAAAGTCAGGAAAGCAATCCCAAGCGCTTTCATTGACTTAAAATTATTTGGCAAAGAATTCCACACTTTAAGGATTTCATTTTCAGAAGTACCGGCAACCGTGTCAGAACTAACTGTGCTGTCCTTTGTCATCCTTTCTATCTTCTCAAGTGTTTCACGCAGGTCATAGAATTTATTTTTCCAGATAGAGCTTTCTTGAAATTCCAATAGCTCCATTTCCAGATTCCCTAAATCTAACCAGTGTAAGCAGGAAAGATCGAGTTCTTCAAATTTGGCTTTATCTGGAGAAGTAAGAAAAGCCAGGGTTGTCTCCATCTTACGGAACTGTAAAAACCTGTTACTAAAATTCACCTTTGCAGCTGCTATGATGCTAGAAAATTCCTTGTAGATTTCCTGATGGCTTGTAGGATTATCTCCAAATGTTGTAGAATTTTCTAAATGCCTTTTTAGGTTTGGAAAATATTTCAGCTGCCCACTTTCGAGGTCTCTTTCAAAAACCTGCAGTTTTCTCTCAAACGTTTTGATATCACAAAACATCCTTTCTGCTGTTTTCCCTACACGTTGTAGTTGTTTGTTCAGCACATTGAAGTGTAGTGTAAAATCAGTAAAAAACATGAGGTTGGTAAGCCAGGCTATATCAGTGAGCTGTGGATATTCCTGCCCTTTTTCATTCATGAACAGCCTAATTTCATCCAAGCAGGCTACAAATCTCTCCAGGACTCGTCCTCTGCTCAGCCCCCGGACATTATTGTACATAGGTAAACAATTATTCTGTGCCTGAACCCCCTCAATAAGTGCTTGAAACCGCTGAAAATTCAGAGCACGAGCCATGATGTAATTCACCATTTTTGTGACATCTTTAAGGATATTGTCAAATTTTTTGCTGTTTTCCTTGGTACAAAGAGCTTCTTGATGTATAATACAGTGGAACTGAATGACTTCATGTTTTGTTTCTTTAACAAAGAACTGTATGAAACCAGATGTTGCCCCCACCATAGGTGGTGACCCATCACTAGTAATGGAAACCACTTTTTCTGGCCTTATGTCGTGTGACAAAAAAGCCTCCATCACAGCATTGTAGATCTCGATCCCTTGTGTCCTTTCAGGCAAAGACACCAGTTTCACCAGCTCTTCTCTCATTTTGTCACCAACAGCATAACGCAGAATTACTGCTAGCCTTGCATGATTATTTACATCTGGGCTTTCATCCAAGCACATGGAGTAACAAGCTGCCTGTTGTAGGTCAGTGGTGAGCTGCTGACCAACATCACTTGCCATGCGCTGGACTCGATCCTTCACAGTCTTTCTGCTAAGTGGCGTCTCAGAGATGCGTCGAATAATTTTATCCTTGTTTGGGAAATCATGAAAAAGGGCATTACTTCCAGACAACATGGCCATTTTGATAATATCCCCATCAGAGAGGGGCTTGCCATGTTTTGCTACGCAGTGTGAAATTTGAAAACTGTCAGCTGTCAGGTGGTTCGTTCTAGAAAGATCGTCGCAAAAACTAAGATCCTGGGAATATTTCCTCAATTTCCCTTCAAGAAACTCTCTTCTTTCAGTTTCACCAAGTTTGGCAACACTTTTGTGGTTGGTGTCTAAGTGCCGTCTGACACTTGATGTGCGACATACAACACTTTCATTACACAGAACGCATAACGCTTTCCCATTGTGTTCAATCACTCCAAATGACTCTGTCCAGGCCTCTTGGAATGATCTTCCACTATCTCTTTTTGCTTTTTTTGCTGCACTCATTTTTGGGTGGTTCAAGACTTGGGAGTCTACAAAAACACAAAATTAAAAAAAAAAAAAAATGAAGCACCCAATACAAATCTATCCCTATACCAAAAATAGCTAACACTAAAGAAATGGCTATTCCTCGAATCAACCATCCACGGCAGTGATTCTCAGCTGGGGGTTCCTTTTGAATTTGCTGACCACCAGCGCAAGGGGACAATTCTCCACTGACCACCAGCTTTTGGCCTGCTCTGAAAAAGGGCATCTGAGTGCATTTCCTACCTTTGATTCACCTCCGCTGTACATGTGTTGGGCCTACTTCTTGGGAAATAAGATGAAGGGGAGGTGTAAGCAACAAGGCAGGTGCTGCAAAACCCGTGCCGTGGCCCGATGCGCTCTGCTCCCCTCCAACCTAACCCCCACCAAGGGAATCACCTTCGCCACAGACTCGCACCCTCATGGCGCATGTGAGCTGCCCGCCTTACCCCAGACAGGGGAGGGAGGAAGCACTCCCATTGGGCTGCTGGCCAGAGGGGCAGGTGATGAGAAATGTCCTCGGGCATGCGTGGAGAGGGGGACGGAAGCCAGTCTGGCCCCGCTTCCCTCTGGCTTTCTAGTAACAAACTCTGCCAAAATGTGCTGGGGCAATGGTGCGCATGCCCACAGAGATGGCACTGAGTGTCCCCTCTGGCACATGTGCCATGGGTTCGTCACCACTAGTATAGTCTCCTGCTTGAAGAGGGAGTCGGGCTAGACCTCCAAGGTCCCTTCCAACTCTCTTTTTCTGAAGATCTCGCCGTCAATTCTGATAGAAGTAAAGCAGAAACAGGATGGAAACGAGTCTAGTAGGAAGCAAAGGTTTTTTGAGCTGAACTGTGGAAGAAGACACCCCATTACAAAAAAGGTGTTGAGACTTTAGAAAAAGTCCAGGGAAGAGCAACTAAGATGATCAAAGGCCTGGAGGCTAAAACATATGAAGAACAGCTGCAGGATTTGGGTTTGGCTAGTCTAGAGAAAATAAGAATTAGGGGTGACTTGTATTGCAGTATTTGAGGGCCCGCCACAAAGAAGAGGGGGCCAATTTTATTTTCCAAAGCACCAGAAGGCAAGACAAGAATAATGGATGGAAACTAATCAAAGAGCCTTGGTAATACGGTGGTCTAAAGCACCCTGTTATTAAGACCAGCTGCCTGCAATTACTGCAGGTTCGAATCTCGCCAGGCTCAAGGTCGACTCAGCCTTCCATCCTTTCTAAGGTAGGTAAATTGAGGACCCAGTTTGTGGGGGCAATAAGCTGACTTTGTATAAAATATACAAAAGGATGAAGGCTATTGCTTAGTGCATTGTAAGCTGCCCTGAGTCTCCGGAGAAGGGCGGCATATAAATCAAATAAAAAAAAAAAAGAGAGAGAGAAGCAACCTGGAATTAAGGGGAAACTTCCTAACATTTGAGAACAATTAACCAATGGAACAGCTTGCCACCAGATGCTGTGGGTGCTCCATCCCTGGATGTTTTAAGAAGAGACTGGGCAGCCACTTGTCTCAAATAGTAGAGGGTCTCCTGCTTGAGCAGGGGGCTGGACTAGATGACCTCCAAGGACCCTTCCAGCTCTATTCTCTTCGATTGCAAGGGAGCTCCAGCCCAAGAAGTCTCCCATTCTCCCCATTTAAAGTGACAAGTTTAGTTTACTCTACTAACTCCGAACCATTTCTAGCTCCAGCTGCTTTTTCCTCCCCAAGTGCACCAAACCGGATGGGGGTCTTTCAAAAGAGGGGCTTCTCCCCCCGCCCCCCCCCACCCCGCAGAAGGTGGCAAAAGCAGCAAGAAAGGCGGGGGAGCCGCCGGTTCATTCTCCGCTCTCCTGCAAGGCAAGATCCCGCGCGGGTGGGTGGGTGGGTGGGCGTGGAGGGAGCACCCCTCCCCCGCATGCCTGCTTTAATGGCAAAGCGGGTCCCGTCTTCCCCAGCCGGCTGGGGACGATGGGAGCTGCAGTTCATACACCCCTGCCTGCACCATCCCCGACAAGCGCCCTCCGAGCGCCGGAGCACGTTAAAGGCGCTCTGGATAGAATTCGCAGCGAAAGCGTTTTACACGACCAGCAGCGGACTGACCTGCGCTCGCTCCCGAACCCAGCAACAAATGGCCGAATGCACGTGGTCTCCGCCTTATATAGGGAGAGGGGGGGAGTGGGCGGAGCTACTGAGGAGCGCTCGCGCGCTCGACGGAAAACCTCGAGGAACAAAAGGCCTCCTGTTTCGCCTTTTTTTTTTTGTTAACTTACTACGTTGGGGCAAATTACAGATGGGAGGAAATAGAATAAAATCGGGAATAGAGCTGGAAGGGACCTTTGGAGGTCTTCTAGTCCAGCCCCCTGCTCAAGCAGGAGATCCTTATAGTATAGGTGGCTGTCCAGTCTTTTCTTAAAAGCCTCAAGTGATGGAGCACCCACAACTCTGGTGGCAGGCTGTTCCACTGGTTAATTGTCCTCAAATTTCTCCTTAATTCCAGGTTGCTTCTCTCCTTGATTAGTTTCCATCCATTGTTTCTTGTCCTGCCTTCTGGTTCTTTGGGGAATAAATTGACCCCTTCTTCTTTGTGGCAGCCTCTCAAACATTACATTACTATCATGTCCCCCCTAGTCCTTCTTCTCTCCAGACTAGCCAAACCCAAATCCTTATAGAACAGTAACAGAACTGGAAGGGACCTTGGAGGTCATCTAGTCCAACCCCCTGCTCATGCAGACAGCCTGTACTAGGGATTCAAACTGCTGAACTGCCGACCTTTCTGATCGACAAGCTCAGTGTCTTAACCACTGAGCCACCTGGTCAGGCAGTTCTTCGTATGTTTTAGTTTCCAGGCCTTTGATCATCTTAGTTGCTCTTCTCTGCACTTTTCCAAAGCTCTGAACATCTTTTTTTGTAATGTGGTGACCAAAACTAGATGCGGTATTCCAGGTGTGGCCTTACTAGGGTTTTATAAAGCGGTACTAATACTTGACGTGATTTTGATTCTATGCCTGTTTATACAACGAAGGATTCTACTAGCTTTTTTGGCTGCTGCTACACGCTCTTGGCTCTTGTTTAAGTACAGAGGTCTCCAAACTTGGCAGCTTTAAGACTTGTGGACTTCAACTCCCAGAATTCTCCAGCAAGGTGGATTTTGAGCCAGATTAGGTTTTGCCTTTCCTGGAGGTTGAAGTTCAGAAAGAAAACACCTAATTAATGGAGATGTGGACCTTTGTAGAAATTAGATTTTATTACTGATTTAGAATTCAAAAACACAGCTTAGAAAACCAAAACATGTCTCGGATATTTCAACGATACTCCCCACACTTTGGATGCTCTGCCCAATGCTGTCAAAATTTGCTCTGTAATTATTTTTTTTAACGATGTGCACAGCTGCTCAAGATAGAAAGGAAACATGGGTGGTGATGTGATCACCTTCCCTCACCCACAGGTTTTTTTTTTCTCCTTTCTATCTGAATAGCTATGTGTATCTTCTAACATTTTTCAAAAAATTTTTTAAAAAAAGCTAAAATGGCAGTTTCTGCTTTCAGAGATCGCTCACAAGCAAAAAGAGTTTCCTGGGAACTAAACTCAAATTTCCAGGGAATTGGGGCTGTTGTTGTTTTGCCACAAATGAGATTCCTTAAGACAGCGGTCTCCAATCTTGGCAACTTTTAAGACTTGTGGACTTCAACTCCCAGAATTCCTCAGCCAGCAAACCTTTGCTGGCTGAGGAATTCTGGGAGTTGAAGTCCACAAGTCTTAAAGTTGCCAAGATTGGAGACTCGTTTTTTTTTTTAATTTTTATTTTCCATTTTTCCAATTTACATAACAATAAGCAATTTTTAACAGTATTGTGTCATGTGTCTCTTACAGTTATCTACATTTATTTCTATACATTTTTGTTTCTCTGTTCTAACCACTTATACCACTTATCCCAAACCTTGTAAAATTCTGTTTCTTCCTTGCCTTTTACTTCTAGTGTGAGCTTATACATCTCGGCACATTCTAATATCTTATGAATAATCCTCTCGTTGGCTAGTATATTTTCAAGTTTCCAACATTGGGCATAAACAATTCGTGCTGCTGTTACTATATGTAAAATATTTTGGAGTTGCTTTTTTATCTTTTGATTAATTATTCGTAATAAAAATAATTCAGGTTTAAATTCAATTTGTTCTCCTGTTATCTCCTGTAATCATCTCCTTATCTGTTCCTAATATTTCTTTGCTTTGGGGCATTGCCACCACATGTGATAAAATGTTCCGTCCTTATATTTATACTTCCAGCAGTCCGGTTTCATATTTGTGTACATTTTAGCCAATCTCGCCAGTGTTAAATGCCACCTATAGAATATTTTGTACTGATTTTCTTTATTGAGGAGACCCTTGCCTTAAGAGATGGAAAGCACCAGAAGTTTTGGGGAGGTGGAATAACATTTTGATACCAAAAATCCTCCCACAGAAAGAAAGGAAGCAAGCCAGCCAGAAATATGCAGCACAGCTGGATGCATGTCCCAGAATGCATGTCCCAACTCTTTTTGAGTTGTGGCTACTTACAGATAGTTCTCCACTTATGACTGGTCACTTAACAGCTGTTCAAAGTTACAATGCAGCCCCATGAACAATAATCCCCAAAGTTTTCCGGCTTTGCATGTTGTGTCTGCGCTCGCTCGCTGCTTCTGTTGACTGGGTGCATGGTGTGTCTCGCCCGCCAGTTCTATGGCGACTTCCAAATGGGTTGTAGCCTGGTACTGGGCCCTGGCCCATGGGCTGGGGACTTCTGCCCCAGAAGACACTTACAACCCAGTTCCAACAGCCAGGATTCTCGCACACTCATGTGATTTTTGGATGCTCAGCCATCAGCCCATATTTAGAGCTGTTTGCAGTGCCCGGAAGTCACATGGCCACAGTTTACGACATTTTTGGCCAAAACCCAGCATTTATTTCATTTTTTTTGGGTAAAAAAATAGCAAAAAAAAAAGGGGGCGGGCGGTGGGGAAGGTTTGTGTAACAACAGCAGCATTTTCCTTAACCATTGCAAAAAAAAAAAAAAGATCAAAATTGGGATGGTCATGCAGATGATCTGCTTTATGACCGTCACAACTTATGACCGTAATGGGTAGGCTCCATTACAGTCATAATTCAAAGACTACCTGTATATACTTTGGGGGAAAACATGGCTTCATTCAACAATTTAAGGTAAAACTTGCTCTCCACGGAATTAGCAAAGCTAAATGGTTGCAATGGGTTTCAATGGTAGCAGGCAGCCACTGGGTCTCCACTCCACGTTCTTTTCAAGAGAATAGAATAGGATAAGCTGGAAGGGACCTTAGAGGTCTTCTAGTCCAACCCCCCGCTCAAGCAGGAGAACCTACACTATTTCAGATAGGTGACTGTCTAGACTCTTCTTAAAAACATCCAGTGATGGAGCGCCGATTTCTGGTGGCAAGCTGTTCCACTGGTTAACTGTCACCGCCGTTAGGAAGTTTCTCCTTAATTCCAGGTTGCTTTGATTAGTTTCTAACCATTGTTTCTTGTCCTGCCCTCTTGGTGCTTTGGAGAATCATTTAATCATAATTTAATAACAACTCCTGAATTGGCATTTTGACCGCCAAGATGTAAACCAATGAACTGGCGAGACCAAAATACTGCCCAGACAATTTATTCCTTCAGCTGCCAATTATTGTGCATCTGGTGCATCCAATAACATTCATAATTTTAAAAATTAGCAGCTCAAAAGAAGAGAAGACTGAAATGGGAAGGCAACGCATAGAACAGGAGGAGGGCGGGGGACCTTTGGCCCTCCTAATGATTAACTACAGGTCCCAGCATCCCTAATAGTTAGAGTCTGAGATCTGCAACCTCTGCTTCCCAACCTTGTAGTAGAGGTAGGCTGAGAAATGGGAGGGGTTAGGTTACAGTCCAGCGGGTATGTAGAGACTACAAGTCCCAGTGTTCCTAATCCTAGCTTGAGGAGTTGGGATGCCCATTTTCCTCATCCACCCTAGGAACTGGGCGTTGGAGGGGGGGCGTGGGCCTGGCAGACTTCTTCTGCAGCCGGAATAAAGCCTCGAGATGCCTCCGCTTCTCCTTGGCCCTCAGGATGGTGGTCTTGAAGAGCGAGAGGTAGAGGTTGATGGCCGAGGGGCTGTCGTCATTTCCCGGGATGGGGTAGGTGATGAGGGAGGGGTTGGCATTGGTGTCCACCACGCCCACGGTGGGGATGCTCATCTTGGCCGCGTCCCGGATGGCCAGGTGAGGCTCAAAGACATTGTTGAAAGTATTGAGGAAGATCAGGAGGTCCGGCAGGCGGACCCCCGCACTGTACTGGATGGGGGCGTTGGTCAGCAAGCCGCCTTGCCAGTAGCGGGTGTGAGCGTACTCCCCGCACTCCTTGGCCACGTTTTCCACCTGGTGGGACGTCTGGCGATGGCGACTGATGAAGAGGATGATGCCTTTGCGGAAGGCGACGTGGGCCGTGAAATTGAGGGCCAGCTGGAGGTGCTGCGCCGTCTGTTCCAAGTCGATGATGTCGTGCTCCAGGCGGCAGCCAAAGAGATACGGCACCATGTATCTGCAGAGGAAACAAGCAGCTGGTCTGAAGCCATCCCCAGGCCAGATAAAGAGGCAAACAAGGACTATTGGCCGAAGGGGTCAATCTGAGGATGCCCCCCCCCGTGAAAGAGGTGGCGGCTGTACATGTAGCCCTCAACTTAGGATCACAAACGAGGCCAAAATCTATGTTGCTAAGCGAGACATTTGTTAAGAGAGTTTCGCCCCCATTTTACGACTTTTCTTGCCGCCGTTGTTAAGTGAATCTGTTGTGGCCCGTCAGCAGCCTGTGCAACTAGCAGCTGATTCCGACAGCGAGGAGGCTGGTGTGGTGCTGCGCCAGCAGCCTGGGCAGCTGGCACTCGAGTCAAACAATGAGGAGGCTGGAGAAGATGTGGTGCCAGAGGCAGGAATTCAGCCAGGGCCTTCAGAACCTCCAGAAGCTCCCATAAGTGAAGAGGACGAAGAGGAGGAGCCTCTTCTCGATACACGGGCACGCAGTGCTCCCAAAAGGCAGGAGTGGCTCCTCAGGAGGAAGTCTCCTCGAGAGTAAGGCTTGGGGCTAATTGGCCACTCCCATAGCCTATTTAAGGAGGAATGCCGACTGAAGCAATTTGCAGGGAACAACTCCATTCACATACCTTTGTGTCTTGTCTTGCTTATTTTATCAGCTTTCTGCAAATTGCTTCTGGGCATTCTGCCAACCACAGTAAGCTTTCAGTATTATTCTTTTAATTCTTGCCGGCTGTTAATGCAGTTAATTAACAGCCGTTGTTGTAAAAACTGGTTTATTTAGTAAACTAAGGTTTGAACGGACTTTGTGTGTGCTGCGTTCTTTGGGGTCCGTAGCTGGGGCAGAACAGAATCATTGCACTTCTGAAGCTAGTAACACAGTTATTAAGTGAACCTTGCTTCCCCATTGAATTTGCTTTCTCAGAAGGTCCCAAAAGGAGATCACGGGACCCCGCAGACACTGCGACCGTTATAAATGTGAACTGGTTACCAAATGTCTGAATTTTGATCACAAGGGGATGCTTCCACAGTTGTTAAGGGTGAAAAACACTCCTAAGTCACCTTTTTTTCACTGCCTTTTTTTTTTTTTTTGCTTTAATTTATATGCCGCCCTTCTCCGGAGACTCAGGGCATTGTAACTTTGAATGGTCACTAAATGAACTTTTGTAAGTCGAGGACTACCTTTAGTAGGAAGAAGGTCTGGGCCTTGAAGGACAAGGGGAAAAGTCGCTACCAAGGCAGATAAAAGAAATTTGAGGCTAGGACAGGGATGTAACCTTTGAAAGCCTCTCAGCAAGGCCCTCCCTCATTGTCACAAAGATAAAAGCAAGGTGGGGGAAGCAGACTGAGACTTTAAGACTGTTCTAAAAGTCATATTGATCTGTATGACTTTGGCTTCCTAGTCCGGCCTACCTTGAAGGGCTGAGAAAAATCCAGAGACCGATGGACTCTTTCCCTTCGTCCCCAAGGTCATCCACTCCTACATTACAGGTAGTTGATTTTCAATTTGAAGTGACAACAGACTCAAAAAAAGTTACTTACAACCCACCCTCGAAGTTACGATGGTCAATAATCACGTTTTGGGAATCTGGCAACAGGCTTGCATTTATGACTGGTTGCAGTGTCATTAAATACGATCACATTTTCCCCACAAAAACCACCATTAGATAAGCTGGATTCGAACTTATGACTTATGTGATTTGCTTAACGGACATTGGAAAAAAAACAGTCGTAGAATTGAGTGTGGTTACATAGTGACTCGACTTATGACCACAACAATCTACAACTAATTTCTGGCCTTAATTCTGGTCATAAGTCGAAGACAACCTGAACATCTTCCGTATTTCTATTTTACCAGGCAACAATGCTGAGTTTTTGCAAAGAGGCCGAATCAACCAGCCGGGCATAAGAACCTAAGTCAGTGCTTCCCAAATCTGGGTCAATCACCCAAAATTGGGTAAAAATGAGTTTTTTGGGGTAATGATACCAAAACCCATTATACAATTATAACAGGGACATTGATTTGAAAGTGTTTTACCTACATTGGGAAAAAAGACTGGTAAATAATTTTGGGTAATGAAAGAAAAGTGAAAAGCAATGCCAAGTTGGATGGGAGCCCTGGCTCCTCTTGTCCAGCAATCTATTTTTACAGTGGCCAGCCATCTGTGCCAGGAATCCTACCAGTCTGCCTGCAGGTGGCCTTCAGTGGGAATCCCACTCAGGTGGTGGGAGAGCCCACAGGAACAGTTACAGTTCCCTCACTATCTGAAAGGCAGCCAGCTGGTAGCCAGCATCTCATCACATGTTTTCTTCCTGCTCTTGACTCAAGCAGGCCCAACCATACTGAGCAATGAGCTTTAAAAGTGTCTGTGTTTGAGCAGTTTTTGGTCTGTACAAGGAAGAAATTTCAGGTTAAATAAAGCTTAAAATGAGTGTCAGCCGAGCTAAAAAGCAGGAGGTGGAGAATAGCTATATAAACAGCATGGTGTTTCCCCAGGAATATGCAAATCTTGCCCTTGGACAAGATCATATTGTGCTGTATATAATATTCTATGTAGAGATTCCCAGTTAACCAAATTATGCTTCACTGAAATACTCTATTCACACAGCTATAACTGAACCTTGTTAACATCTAACAGAGATAACTAACATCTCAGCCCCCAAAATATCCAACTACATTTTATCTTAGTGAGTGGAGTAGGAAGGAAGTAAAACACATCTACCCGTCAGTTACATGCTGAAAGTCCCAAACTGAATTTTAGGGAAAATCTGAGGACAATCCTAGTTAGAAAGGCAGGAAAGCTGTGTGAGCAATGTTTGTTTGTTTGTTTGCCCTTTTCCCGAAGGACTCAGGGCGGTGAACAGTCAAAATAAACATATATAAAATTGTGAAATAGAAGCAATTTAAAATAATTAAGCCAATTTGGCTCATCAGTTAAGTTAAGATCTTCAGAATAAAATTTACACAATTAGAAAAAAAAAAAAGCTTAGCTCCGAAGCTCTGCCCCAAAGGCTGGATTCAAACAACATGCCAGTCTAGGCTACAGTGGGTGGCAACCATGGTTGTGGGAATGCAGGTACAAAAGCCGTATGCTGTCTATTTAACCCATCAGGGCTTATTTCTTTGGACCTAAGCAAAACATGGCAACTATGTTTTGGCAATCCGGGCTGAGGCCTAGCCAGGGAGTTTGCTCTGTCGTGGTTTGCAAGCCCTGGGGAAGAACTGACCTGTGGCGGCTGCTCTTCTTGTGGCCAAGGTGGACTCGAGCGTCGAAGAGCTCCTTCAGAGAAAACAGCTCCTGAAGATTGAAGAAGTCTGCATGCTTCAATGGCTCCCGCAGAAGCTTCTCCTCGATATCTAGAATAGAAATAGAAATGGAACAGAACAGAATAAGGAATGGAATGGAATGGAATGGAATAACTTTATTGTCACTTTTAATGTACACTCATCGGCATACATTAAAATGAAATTCCGTTGCATACAACTTTCAAAGGGTCACCACCTCCAATATACACTACATAAACATGACAAAATAAATAAATAAATATGCATATACCCATATATATTATATGACACAGAGAAACAACACAGTCTAGTTCGGATGTATACCTGTACATCTGCAAGAGGAAAACCAAGAACAGCTCCAAGGAGAAGCAGCCATTAGAACCAGGCCTCAGTTTCCCCCACGGGCAAGCATTCCAGCTTCCATCTCCCACATCTTGCTCAAGGATCCTCTGCTGCTTTCCTCACGGTTTTGAGCTCCCAGCTCTAGAGAGACTTACCATCCTCTGGCCGGCTCGCTGCTGCGACTGAGAGGGTCCCGTGATGCCTCAGGAATCCGGATGTGGATCTCGCGACGGTCCCACACCTGCTGGGCCGAAGAAGGACTGCTGTAGGGAAGAGAGCGAAGGCGAGGGGTGAAGGGGGTGAGCTCTTAGCAAGCAGGAGATGACACTGTTGTCCAACATGCCTTATGTCAATCACAGGATTGGGGGTGGGGGGGGGAGGATACCAGTTTCTGAACCCCACAAACATAGAGATTCTTGAAGCCTGACATACCGCAGCCCCCTCCCCGTGTCTCCCCCTTGCTTGCTTTAAGAAGCTGGACTTCACGCCGGCCGGACCATTCTGGGAGTTGGGAGTCCAGCATCTTAAAGTGGGCTGAGGATGGGTGGGGGAGAGAGACAGGCAGGCTGGGCAAATAGAGGTAGTCCTCGACTTACAACAGCTTCATTTAGGGACCGTTCAAAGTCACAACCTCATGAAAAGTTTAGTTTAGTTTAGTTAGTTTAGTTTATTTGATTTGTATACCGCCCTACTCCCGAAGGACTCAGGGCGGTGAACAGCCAGCAATAAAATACATAAATACAAGAAATTTAAAAACCAGATAAAATCAAATTAAATCATTTTGGCCCACACAGATTAAAATACCCCAATAATTTAAAAACAGATTAAAATTTAAATATTTAAAAGGGAAGAAAATTAGGCCAAGCCCGCCTGATGGAATAAAAAGGTCTTCACAGCACGGCGGAAGGAGCGCAGATCCAGGGGGAGCTCATTCCAGATGGTAGGTGCCCCCACAGAGAAGGCTCTCCCCCTAGGGGCCGCCAGTCGACACTGTTTGGCTGACGGCACCCGGAAGAGTCCCTCTCTATGGGAGCGTACCGGCCGGTGGGAGGCTATTGGTGGTAGTAGGCGGTCCCGTAAATAACCAGGCCCTAAGCCATGTAACTCGTGTAACTCGTGCCCGTTTTTCACAACGCTCACGACCCTTGAAGCATCCCCACGGTCACGTGATCAAAATCCGGAGGCTTGGCAACTGGCATGTACTTATGACGGTTGCAGTCCCCTTTTGCGACCTTCTGGCAAGCCAAGTCAATGTGGGGAGGAGCCGGATTCGCTTAACAATCTGGTTACTAACTTAACGTCTGCGGGAATTCGCTTAGCAAAGGTCGCAAAACGGGGCGAAGCTCACTTAATGGTCTCACTCAGCAACAGAAATTTCTGGCTCCATTGTGGTCGTATGTCGAGGACTAGCTCTATGCGCCAAGAAAGCCAGCGCCAGAGACCTCCAACTCGTCCGGCCTGCGGACCCCCACCCCGCTCGGGGCCGAAGCCCCGTCTGCCCCAGGGCCAAAGGCCGGAGCCCCGTCGCAGCGCGACCCCGCAGTCATCCCCCACCCCACCCCGAGCGCGGTTTCCTTTCCACCTGTCCGCCAGAGGAGCCTGGAGGCCGCCATGTTGGTCTGCGGCGCAGGCGCAGTTCGTTCTCTTTCCCCGCGCGCCAGGATCCCGGGCGGGGCGAGCCGGAGAGGCTCCGCCCACCCCACCTCATGGCTCCGCCCACGAACTCGGCCGACGTCGGAGGGCCTCGCCCGGGCGTTGCTAGGCAACGTCGCGGGTTCGAATCCCGGACGGCCGAAGCGTCGTACCCTGATTTTCCCCGCCCACCCCCAGATTGGGTACTTGGGGGGAGGGTGAAGTGGGGCAGGGCTGGAGAGGGGCGCCCCGTTACTTTTGTCGAGATGTGCTTTGGGCAGGCTGTCTCCTGGGGGTGGGGGCTGTCTGTCTTGCCCCCCCCCCCCATCCCACCCTCAGCATTCAGCCTCACCTGCCAAACCTGGAAAAGCGAAATTTTAATTTTTTTTAAAAAAAAGGCCTGGACTAAGGAATGGGCTGCGTCATTTTTGTTTCAGGTTGCATACTTAAAAGGGCTTCCCCACCACTAAATGGGGAGAGGAGAGAGGATTCTGCCCCGTTTGGGGTCTTGGGGGGTCCACGCAGGCCAAGTTCCTGTTCAAGAAAAGATGCATTCAGAAGGCTTCTCTCGCCTTTTAAGAGGGTAATATCATGAAGGAAGGAAAGGCACGGAATGAGAGGGCGCAAGAAATAAATCTGACTATTTTTTTTTATTTATTTATATGCCGCCCTTCTCCGGAGACTCAGGGCGGCTTACAATGCGTTAAGCAATAGCCTTCATAATTCATTCATAAATATACAAAAGTCAGCTTATTGCCCCCACAAACTGGGTCCTCGTTTTACCTACCTTAGAAAGGATGGAAGGCTGAGTCGACCTTGAGCCTGGGGAGATTTGAACTTGCAGTAATTGCAGGCAGCTGTGTTAATAATTCCACTTAAACATAATTTAAGTGGAATTACTGTATATATAGTGTAACTACGGTTAATGCAGTTATTCCATCCATCATTGTTGGTCATGTCAAAAATTACAATTTGCAGGCAGCTTTGGGAAATAGTGATAGAGCTAGTCTAGTCCTATTTTCCTGTTCTATTCTATTCTATTCTATTCTATTCCTATTCCTATTCCTATTCCTATTCCTATTCCTATTCTATTTCTTATTCTATTCCTATTTCTATTCTATTTCTTATTCTATTCTATTCTATTCTATTCTATTCTATACTATTCTATTCTATTCTCCGATATTTTATTCTATTCTATTCTCTATTCTATTCTATTTATTTATTCTATTTTCTACTCTATTCTATTCTATTTTCCAATATTCTATTCCTATTCTATTCTCTGATATTCTATTCTATTCTCTACTCTATTCTATTTTCTCTTCTCTATTCTATTTTCTCTTCTCTTCTATTTTCTTTTCTCTTCTGTTCTCTTCTATTTTCCAATAGTCTATTCTGTTCTCCGATATTCTATTCTATTCTCTACTCTACTCTATTCTATTTTCTCTTCTATTTTTTTCTCCTCTTCTATTTTCCAATATTCTATTATATTCTATTGTCCAATATTCTATTCTATGCTATTGTATGCTATTTTCTATTCTATTTTCTGTTCTCTTCTCTTCTCTACTCTACTCTGTTTTCTCTTCTCTTCTCTTCTCTTCTCTTCTATCCTTCTCACTTTTGAGTCTCCTGTGATGGATTCGCTTCCTGCTCATTGAGCAACAGGGGGTGGGTGGGTGGGTTCAGCAGACTTCTGCCCTTCCCATCCCCCCATCAAGTGCAGGCTAATGCATGTAAGTTGCTGTTGCTTTAAATGCACCAGAATGCCTGGAGCAATTTCCTAGCAACCTGGGTTTGGTTTCCTAGCAACCTGAGCTTGGTTTCCACGCCAAAGCCGGCAGGTGGGTACCAGGCTGGTCTTCCACCCGGCTCTTCTCTTCCTTCGGACGGAGGGGCTTTGCTCTGAGCGACCCCCACCCGCCCAGCAGTTCCCATGGCCGAGGAGCCCGATCCTGAAGCCGCTGCTGCCGCCTTGCGCAGCGCGGAGGAAAGTTGCGCAGGCCAGAGAACCAGCGATCAATACCGGGTGAACCAGGACTTACCTGCTCGGTTTAACCACCCAGGATGGTTTCGGGGTTACAGGTGAGTGGAAGGAGCCCGGAGCCCGTTGGAGCGCCAGGTTAGAGAAGCAGGTGGAGCTGGCAAGGTCAGGGCAGATGCATTTGAGATGCGTTTACCTGGCAGGAGGGGCGTTTTGGTTCAGTTCGGCCCAGACGGGCACATAGCTGCCAACCTGATGGGCACAAAGCCAAAGGGGAGAGTCTTGGCAGTGAGCAGAAGGGAGAGAGTTAGTTGGGTGTTGGCTAAGCGTGATTTGGAAACCCAGCCATTGTGGTTAGTAAAAACATCTGTACAGGTTAGGAAACCATACTTTATAGGAGCCCCCTGAGTCTTCCTGGAGGGAATGAGGCTGGAAAAGTTTATTTATTGTATTTATTGTAGGTATGTAGGTATGTATGTATGTATGAGAGGTGGGTTTCAGCAGGTTCTGACCAGTTTTGGAGAACCAGTAGCGGAAATTTTGAGTAGTTCGGAGAACCAGTAGTAAAAATTCTGACGGCTCCGCCCCCATCTATTCTCTGCCTCCCAAGTCCCAGCTGATCGGGAGGAAATGGGGATTTGCAGTAACTTTCACCTGGAGTGGGAAGAGAATGGAGATTTTACAATATCCTTCCCCTGTCACGCCCACCAAGCCATGCCAGGCCCACCAAGCCACACCCACAGAACCGGTAGTAAAAAAAAATTGAAACCCACCACTGGTATGTATGTATGTATGTATGTAATGTATATTCTGCCTATGTTGCTGTTATGCAGCTCGGGGCAATTTACAATCCAGCAAAACAATATTATAAAAGATTTTTTAAAAACTTTAATCTAAAGTTAAATCTGGACCTTTTTTCTGTTTAGGAGGAGTGGTTTAAGGGGCAAGGTGTACAGGAACTGGCTTGCAAAGGGCTTACAGAACACAATTTCAAACATAATGGTAACATGGTTTGCCTGTTGAAGGTTTAGGTATGTGTGAACGGAACCCTTGATGGTGAAACTGGTTCCTTTGAGGGGGGGGGGACTTATTCCGAAGAAGAAAAAAAGGAGAGTGGGCAGTGATTTATTTCTGAAATTAAAAAAGAGCAGAATAACAGAACAGAGCTGGAAGGGATCTTGTAGGTCATCTAGTCCAACCCCCACCCAAGCAGGAGACTACACCATTTCTGACAGAGGGCAGTCCAGTTTCTTCTTGAAAGCAGAGAAGGGAGGAGAGGAGATGCTGAATGCTTAACCTCCTGACATCATTTAGAAATAGAAATTTAGAAATCATTTAGAAATAGAAATTTAGAAATCATTTAGAAATAGAAATTTAGAAATCATTTAGAAATAGAAATTTAGAAATCATTTAGAAATAGAAATTTAGAAATCATTTAGAAATAGGATTATAGGGCTGGAAGGGACCTCAGAGGTCTTCTAGTCCAACCCTCTGCTCAAGACAAGAGACCTTATACCAAGGATCTCCAAACTTGGCAACTTTAAGACTTGTGGACTTCAACTTCCAGAATTAGCAGAATTAGCATAGCTGGCTGGGGAATTCTGAGAGTTGAAGTCCACAAGTCTTAAAGTTGCCAAGTTTGGAGATCCCTGCCCTTATACCATCAGGTATAAGGAGACCTTATAATCTTGTCTTAAAACAACGTTGTCTTGTCTTAAAACAATCTTGTCTTGTCTCCAACGTTGGAGCACCTACGACTTCTGGAGGCAAGTCGTTCCACTGATGAATTGTTCTCCCTGTCAGGAAATTTCTCCTTAGTTCTAGATATTCGATGTTACTCCCTTAAAATTAGTAAAGTATTAAGAAAGAATCCTACTGGCTGAGGTGGTGGTTGTCATTTCAGAGTGAAAGAACGCAACCCATTGTTCAGGACAACCAACATGGATTACGGAGCTAAACCACCAACAGTGCACGAGATGCCGGTTAGTATTGAGATCTGAATATTATGGTGGCTGGTCCTTGATCAGGAAGCTCATGAATTGGTTCAACGAGGAAATAAACCGGCTTTTAATGCATTTGCTTAGCATGGCATGTGATGTGAATGCAAGCAGGTTCCTACAATTTGCTACGCCTCAAATTCCCTAGTCTCCTTTCATCTTAATTTAGTGTTATTTGGCCGTAATAGAGCCTTGGTGGCGCAGCAGACTACAGTGCTTTTAAGTAGCACCAGCTGCCTGCAATTACTGCAAGTTCAAATCTCACCAGGCTCAAGGTTGACTCAGCCTTCCATCCTTTCGAGGTAGGTAAAATGAGGACCCGGTTTGTGGGGGCAATAAGCTGACTTTGTATAAAAAAGAACACCGCTTTGGGGGGGGCGAAAGCCCTACTAAGCAGGTATATACAAAAGTATGAAGGCTATTGCTTAACGCATTGTAAGCCGCCCTGAGTCTCCGGAGAAGGGCGGCATATAAATCGAACCAATAAATAAATAAATAATAAATTGTTCCTCACCCCTGGTGTAAAAGAATATGGCTCCAGCCTTGAGAAGGAGAAGGAACTTGATGGCCCTTGAATTAACTCTTGACACAATATTGGCTAGGCTAAGTAGACTACCATCTCTTGTTCAGTCTTGACATGCTTCTAAACATTTGCAAGAGGGTCGGTCCTCTTCCATGGAGGTCTCGCATTTTATCTCCCGTGGGGCACATTGGGCTGAGGGGCAGCAGCCAGCCAAAGTCCTCCAAGAGTGTTGTGGCCTGTTGGCCACCAGCCCCTCCAGCAGCCAAATCGGAGGAGGAGGAGGAGGAGGAGGAGGAGGCATGGGAGTCAGGGTCAGCATCAAGGCAATCTGAGAGCGGGAGAGGGAATGGAGCTGGCAGAGAGAGAGAGACAGAGGCGAAGGCTGGGCCAACCGTCAGCCCTCAGATGGAGAGTCAACAGCCCCCAGGTCTGGAGGTGGCTGATGAGGAAGAGGAGGAACAGCTGGGCCCAGTGCCTGACGTGCAAATGCGCAGAACGCAGAGGAGAGGAGAGCAGTGGAAATCTATGGGCCGGTCCTTGGTAGGGAAGAGCCACCGCTGCTAGCAAAGCCCCACCCTAGCTCCGGGGATAAAAGGCAGGGGGCGGAGATGAATAGGTGTGGCAGACAACTATTCATCTTCCGGACAGATGGACTTGTTAGCCTACGAGAGGAACATTTTACAGGGGCTGCCGGCATTCCTAATAACGGAATCTTCTGAGTTAACTTCAGAGGGTTTGTCGCATTTGGGGAGCTGGATCAGAACAAGGGGCCTCATGTGGCTGAAGGGAGATTTGCATCTCGATCTCCCGATCTATCTAACCTCTCACTACCCCATCCGGATTCTTTCAGGTGAGGCTCAAGCCTCCCAAATTGGGGATTATTCGGCCTATGAACAGCTGTGGGGATTCTGGCACCTACCATGAGGCCGACGTGATCCTTATAATGCTCCAGGTGATGTCAATGGCCTCTTTTCTGATGACTAAAAGTTTGCCCTCCTCTTTCTGACTCTTCGCAGACCAGCTTCCATGTCAGCCCACATGCCTTCTCGAACCGTCTCATCACGTTCGGCATGTACAGGAACCATGGCATCAACACTGTCATGGAAAAAAGCTACGTGACTGGCCCTGACAACTTCATCACTTTCCTGGATACCCTCAACTTCCACCCCAGTTACCGAACTAAAGGACCCTCCCTTTCGGAGTGAGGGGCACCGGAAGGCTTCCTGCTCTCCTTTAGCTTTTTACCGTTCCAACCACCAGACCAAAAAAAAATGATTCCTTGAAATCTTTGTAAAGCCCCCACCCCCTCTTTCCTTGGAATTTTTTTTTTTTTCCAAAGGTGGCTTGCACCAGAGAGACTCCAAAATGCTCCTAAGGGGGCTTGTAGCTTGCAAAAACAGTCTTAACCTCTTTCTTAATACGATGAACATGTTAAAGCAACATTACCTGCCATAAAAACGTTGGGAATTGTTGGGTCTCTGTGCGTGGTTCCAAAATTAGCTCAAGACCTACTTTGCCGGTCAAGGATTCCGCATCTGTCCCACAGAAGCCACAGCAACTGATAAGAAGAGAATCTTTCTAGCTCACGTTTGAACCATGGGGTCCTTGATGCTCTCTGATCTTGGTGGTTTTCTCGCAGACATTTCATTGTCAGTCTAGCACTGAGGATGTTACCTAGTTTGGTAATGAGATGTCTGCAAGAAAACCACCGAGCTCGGAGAGCACCGAGGACGCCGTAGGAACAGCTCTGAAAATTTCCCCTCATTGAGATGAATCAACCAGAGCTCTGTGTTCAAGGCAGTTTCCTAATTTTGTGGCAGCCGCTTTTGCTGGGCCGAGGACCGTCTCACTTTTGAATGATGCCTGCAATCCAAAGAGAAATGAGTTGGGGGGAAAAGAGAAAATCTGGATCTGATCATTCAGTACATTGACTAGGGAAGTGCAGCGCTTCAGATATGAAGCCAAGTGGGTATGCTGGGACTTGTTAGGTGCACACATGGCCCCTGACTGCAATTTGTTAAATCCCCAGAAAAAGATGTAGCTGCTTTAAGGAATGGTGGGTGGGTGGGTGGGAGCAATCTGGGGAGCTGTTGGTGGCTCTGAAACGGAGAGGGCGTGAGGACACTCAACACTTACAAACACCTCCTTGCAACCTGCTAGTACCCCAGGACTCATAGGTGTTTTTCTGGAGCCAGGAGGTTAGTGCATGAGGAGAAAAATTAATCGGAATAGAGCTGGAAGGGACCTTGGAGGTCTTCTAGTCCAACCCCTTGCTCAAGCAGGAGACCCTATACAATTTGACACAAATGGCTGTCCAGTCTCTTTTTAAAGACCTTGTGATGAAGCACCCACAATGTCTGAAGGCAAGCTCGTTCACTGGTTAATGGTCCTGTTAGGACGTTTCTCCTGAATTCCAGGTTGCTTCTCTCCTTGATTAGTTTCCATCGTTTCTTGTCTTGCCTTCTGGTGCTTTGGAATTTAGGTTGAATTTCCCCCCCCCCCCCCACTTTTCATTGTGGCAGCCCCTCAAATACTGGAATAGTTCAGCTGCCTCCTGGAGTTGTGGATCCCTGGAGGTTTTCAAGAAGAGATTGGACAATCATTTGATTGGGCTGGTAGAGCAGGATGGTTAAGACTAGAGCAGGGGCTTGGACCAGACGACTTCCCAGGTCTCTCCCAGCCCCCGTGGGTGTCTCCATGTTGAACGAAAAGGCATATTTGAAAAGGAGGGAAACTCCACACTGGTCAAGCTCAACAAGAGCTCTAAATCACAGCATTGCCATTTGCGCAATGGGTTTAATATCCATTTATCTCTCTAATGTCAACCCTGAAGCAGTCTCGCCAACCTTTCCTAAGCATCCATTTCTCTCAAGTGAAAATCTGGTAAAGTTTATATTTCCTTTCTGGAAGTTTTTACAGTTAAACAGATAAAAACCAATGAAAACAAAAGATAAAAAAGAAAAATAGCAAGTGCAGAAAAGAAAATATAAGAAAGGAAAAGTAAGAACATAGTAAAGAAAAAGAAATGTGTAAAGAAACGACTTCCCTCTTCATCACAAAAAGTATGAAGTTTTAGCAAAATATCACCTCTTTTTAAAATGAAACACGAGTTTTTCTTCCCATATCCCATCTCTTATCTATAAACAAATCTTTAAAGCTCTCAGTTTCAGTACTGATCAGCAAAAGACCATTAAGGGTTACAGAGATAACATATCTATTTTAAATTTGATCCAATAAACCAACTTTATATTCCTTCCTGCTAACAATTTTGATATTTAGTCCCTTCAAACGATGCCCTAGAAGAGTAGAAATAATCATGCATATGTGTGACCCTTTAACCACCAAAATTAAAGAGAAGTGAAGGATATAGAAGCAAGTGGCAAGAAGCCCCAATAGCTAGTCACTAGTGTAATTCATAAACAATTGTTACGCAAACTACCGTTTAGTGAGCAGCTTTGATAAAAGCTTGTTACCGGCAATGCCAGCGAAAGTGCTGTGGATTCAAGATCACAGCAAAAATGTCTCATCTCCACTTTTTTTTGGTGACTCCACTGTTGTGGTCTTGCCAACCCAGAATCCAGGCAATGTAGATTTGTTAAACAAATGACAGCTAAGAAAATTGGGGCTTAGCTTAAGAATGAACTCTTTCGACAGGGTGCTGGCTTAATGTCAAAATACACTCTTACAGAATCAATCTTCAATTCCCATAAAAATTACTGTTTTCCTCTCTGTGATTGGACCAAAGAGAATTTCGCTCATGGCTTTCCATGTGAGACCTAATGTGAAATCCATATTTTGGGAAGATTTTTCCTTCTTTGGAACCTTGTCCAGATTCCCTAAAGCAGAGAAGACCCTGTGAGGGTTGCAGGGAGTGCCAAGGTTACCAGAGCAAGCAGGACAAAAATGTTCACAGAACTCTAAATTTGAAAGGACCCAACCAGCAGCTTAGTGCAGAATTCAAATTCAGGGGTCACTCAGCCACTGCCTGAAAAAATAGCATTCCTGAATCCTCTTTGGAATATGGATGATCGAAAAATAAGATGGGGATCCCTCTTCAAATTATATGACAAAAAAATAATAACAGGGGTTTGGATCAACAGCCCATGATCTGAACTCAGTTTATTAAATCTTATAAATGTACGAATGTACACAATTTCTTATATACAAAACAAGGTTTCTTAATTTAAAAAGTGCATCTTCAATCAAGGGGCATTGAAATTACAAGCTACAAAGTTTTGAAATTCAACAGGGAGTGAACACAGAAGGCTCCAACAAACACCCCAATCCCTAAGGATGACCGTGAGAGGAATGTTCAGTAGGGTTTACCCGAAGAAGAAACAGATTAACTGGACAGAACACAGGACTTCAATCCTATAAAAAGCAGCATGGACAGGAAAAACAGTGCTACTAGAAAAAGATCAGGTTAAATTTCAGTTTGGAATTAAGGCTGCTCTTTTTAAGCTCGTTACCCTTCAGTTGATCAAGCTAAGAAATAATCTGAAGGCTTTTTTTTTTCCCCCAAAGAATCTGAAAGAAAAAGGTGCTTCCAGTTTGGGACCCCCTCCCTTTGGCATTATCAAGGATGCTGGTTATTTTGAACTGAAGGAAGTTTCCAGAACAGAAAAGGGGCCTCTATGCGATTCTTTAAAAAAAAATCTATGACTTTCAGTTATAAAAACACATTTTTTTTAAAAAAAATGTGTTTTTACAAGTGGCCCATTCGTTTTCACTGTTCTGCCTCTTTTGTAACAGTTTCTCTACTGCTGCTAACTGTTTTAAGAGGGTACCAGAGGACTTCAATTCTAGCATTCCTTTTGTATCCAGCCTGATGGTCTTTCGTTGAACCGGCTCCCATAATAATCCTGTCTCTCCAAATCTTGCAAGCTGGGGCCAGGAAGGCTGCAGGGCAAAGAGCCCCGCAGACCTGGAAAGCTTACTAGAAAATGGCCTGAAAACACAGTGACGGTATTCGTCTGCTATGAAAATCCACGGTAACCACAGTTAAGCATGCTGTCGAAATTGTCAGATAAAGGTTTCCTTCCAGCGTTGCCCTTTTCGTATTTAAAAAAAAAAATCACTCTTATCAAGAGAGACAATAAAAGCTGGATAGGTGTAATTGGAGATGTATTTCTTTATAAGTGTGGGCATCATGGATAGTACCTCTATGGTCACTGCCTCTCCTGTCAGTTTCAGGTTCTCTAAAATATAATCACTTTGGTTGCTATGCCATCATGACATCGTGTTCTCTAACACAGACGAATCTCTGTGACAAGAGGTATTTATTTTCATTCACTACAAAGGGGTGATCTGAGCTCTTAATGCAACAGGAACCTGGATCATTCTTTGCATATTATCTCTTCCAACACAGATACTAAGTTTTGGGTGAGAAGCGTTAAGCTAGAACGTAGTTTTTGATTTAGTTGCCTTTTAGAATGCCAACCCCATAAAATAAAGAAGTTAAGAACTGGAATTGTTTTCAGGAGACAGTGGGTTATTCCCCCACTGGCCCAACTCTGCAGAACCTCCTTCTAGAAGATTCTGGGTTTGCTCTTCTGCTGTCCTACCTTGGCTGATCACCTTTCCTTTCAGGGATAAATCACAAGGGCCTTCGGGAACCTCGTCCTTTGCCCAACTGGGGCTGTACTCCAGGGGTTTCCCTCTCCTAACAGGGACTTCAATACATGGTACCCCTAGGCTAATCGTGGTCTCTTCTATGCCAGGCCTTTGCAAAAGGAGGCTTTGGATGGCATCTCCTTTGTGGCTTTCCACACGATTATGTTTGACCAAGTTCACCACTTCAGTGGTTACGATGGTCTCCTGGATGCTTCCATCCCTTCTTTCCTGCTTGCAGGTATGCAAACTTCCTGCCTGGAACCTGGGACCCTGATCTGCTTCTCTTACTCCTGCCTCACTTCTGCAGCCCACAATCTCTTTGGGCAGAGACCCCTCCCCAAACAAATTTGCTGCCAAGGTCCCTCCATGCTTGTTGAGCAAAGAAAGGTTGATGTCCTGTTGTCTTTTGCCTAAAAGCTCAGATTTCCTCTTATTCCCACCCCCTTTGAGACCTGCTAGAAATTTGCTGGATGTTTTGAATTCGTGCGAGAGCTTCCTTTCGAAAGGGGGCGCGGCCTTAAAATAATTTTGCCATTTACAACGCTCCTCCACTTTGCCCTTCCCAGAGGAGAGGGTCCCTTGATCAATCCTGTCCTCCCAAATGTCCTTTCTTTGGACTGCAGCTCTTCTTACAGGCAGCTCCATCTCCTTGGTGTCCGCGGCTGGTGGGTTTTCCACTGGAGCCTGGCTGCCCCCGTCTTCCGTGAATGGTCTGGGTTGTTCACTGGGGTGAGATGCGTTTCCTTCACTCTCTCCTGCGCATCTCCGGCGGCTGCTCACCTCAGAGCCTGGTGGGTCCAACCTGCCCACCTTTTGACCCTCTTTCTCTGAGGCAGGGCTTCCTTGCCCGAATAGTTGCCAGTCTGCTTTCAACAGAGCAGCCTGGGGCTTCTCAGCTCCCAAAGTCCCAGCAACTCCAGTGGCATCTGGTAATCTCCCTATCCTGGTAGCGGCTTTTGCTTTTTCAGCCAAGAACTTCTGGATTTCTTCTTCAATGCTATCATCACTGTCTATGGAACTGCTCTCATCTGTCAAGGATGTCACAGCCCACAGACATGAATGGGCCTTTGTGGCCTGTTGGATTTCCGCTCCAGAAACTAGTTTGGTCTGGTATTCCTTTTTACATTCAGGTTCAAACTCTATGGTACTATTCGGTTTTCTCAGAGGCCCTTTCTTTACATTCTCCTCTCTAATGTCTCTCCTGGAACGTACAAGACACTTTTTTAATAAGGTGGGAGTTTCGGATTGGCCGTCTCTCTCATTCTTATAAAAAATATGCATTTCATTGTCACCAAATGGGCCTTTCTTTTTGCAGTGAATTCTTTGGTCTTTGGATTTTTTCTTTAGTTTCCGTTTGGATCTTAGGAGATCTTTGATAGCTGTATCCAAATCTTCATCGCTATCAAATGAGCTGCTTTTATCATCTGCTCCGTATTTCTGCAAACCTAGTGCTATACTTTCTACCAGACTTCCAGAGTCATGAGGTGTGTGGGACAAAGGGCATGGGACACTGGTAGAACGAATAAGGGTTTGAGTGCCTTTTGGATATATAACCATCTTTCCAGTTCTTTCATTTTTCGGTTGGGTCACAGAGGATTTTGGAAGATTCTTATCCAAATAGTCCACCTCTGAGATTAATTGTACATCTTCATTCTGGGGGGCTATTTCACTTTTCCTCCTAAGCGTCTTTTTGTGATTCAGTGGCAGTTTTAGGCATTTGGGGAACGTTCTCTTGGAACTCTGAGTCCGCTCACTGGACTGCCCCAATGACAGAGGCACTTGGAAAGTGGATTTTGCTAGCAAATGCTTGGTCCTTGCTTTGACAGCCAAGAAAGCTCTTATCTCCTGCTCAATGCTATCATCGCTGTCCACGATATTGTTGTCGCTTTCATACTGGGAAGGTAGCACATTCTGCGAAGAAAAGGAAGGACTAGTTGAGAATAGTTTATGATCATTTGCTGTTGGGGGAGGCAAAATAGTTTTGGAAATGTCCAGTATGGCTTCTGCACACATTAATTCAGCAGCCGTGTCTACTCGACACGAAGCCTGAAGTGTGACTGCGCATTTGGCAAAACTGTTTTCTGGAGGAGAAAACCTTCTGCTTTTCCGCAGATGATTACAAGGTGTGCCAGGCCTGTTTATCGCCGCTGCCTTCATGCTGGCATCCTTCCTCTTGCAGCGCTGAGCTTTCTGAGTGATTTCTGGCAAGGCACTTGTCAGACTTGGAGGGATATTCTCTGCCTTGTTGATGCTGAACCCTTCCTTCTGCAAAGAAACACAGTCCTTTCTGGACTCCGCAGCTTTCTTCATCTTCTCAAGCTGATAACGCTGAATAGCTTCTTCGATCCCGTCATCGCTGCTCGAATCAGATAAATCTGTACACTCAACTCTTTCCTCTCTCCGGGCGTTACAAAGGATCGGCCTTTTCCTACTGTTTTTGCTTTCTTCCAGACAGGAGGAATCACGAACTGTCGGAGTTGAAACGCCTGTTTGCCTTTCTGTTTTGCAGACTGGAGGCTCTTCGCTGGTTTTTGACTTCAAGCACGTAGCCGTGCCAATGCTTTGTAGTTCAGGATGCCGTTTTGAGAAGTACGCCTTGCCTCCTTGCTTTAAAGAACTTTGATTCCCTCTGTTCATGCTGCCTTTCTGACTGAGGCCTAGCTTCTCTTGAAGCTCTTCTTTCTGGTGAAACAGCTTATTCCTCCTCGGGATCTTCCTCCTTGCTTGCTGTTTCTTTTTCTTTAAGAATTGTTCAATCTCGGCTTTTATGCTCTGTTCGAAAGAGTCGTCACTGCTCACACTACAAGGGGAGGAGGCCCACCGGACAACATTATCTTCGACGTGACCGGGAACGACATACGGCTGGGCCAAGCTGACGGGGCCACAACCAGCTGGAAATAAATGACAAGCGGCATCATGTGAAGGGAATTTCTCTTGGACTGGATGATCTTCATCCTTACTAGGCAAATTCTTGGTGTTATTTGGTAGCGAGGGAAGGTGCTGGCCCTTGTTTCGCAGGTACTCTTGAATGGCTTCCTCTATATCTCTATCAACAGAATCATCACTGTCAGAATTCAAGGCGAGAGGCCCAAACTCTGCGCTCTCTTCCATGTCCATTCCATCCGAGTCTGTTGGATAGCTACGAAGGGTATAGTTAATATGTTCCTGTAGCAGTTGGTCATTCCTCCTAAATTTGTGCCCTCTCTCCTTTGCTGCCTTCTGTTTCTTCTGTACGATGCAGCCATATTTGCTGTTGGCACCCAGGGCGACTTCTTCACTTTGCAGATTGTTTATGATCATCTGGACTTTGGCATTGACAGCTGTTCTAGCCAGATCTTCTTCAGATTCTGAGAAACAGACCGGATACCTGCAATTCCTTGACTGAGGAAAGGGCTCCCATTTTCTCGGAAGGGCCACCAAAGGAGAAGTATTCATGAGAAACATCCTCTTGGGTGACGTGAAGGCTGGAAAATGTATTGTGTGTCAGGCAACCCGCTCCTCCATTCTAGTAAAAAAAAAAAAAAAAATGTGGATAAAGCAGCTGCAGAAACACAAATATTTCTTGAGTATTTGCAGGATAAGAGTATTTGCTTTAAGATTAGATTTTCTCTTAACATTAACTTTGCATTATATTATCTGAAGTAACAAGACTAAATTAAAACAATCATTTATGGGAGCTTCTTTATCTATTAGATAATTTTAATTTTCTTCTGTTCTGGGTTTATTCTGGAGGAAGAGTTATATTAAAATAAAAACAAACATGTAAATAACAGTAATTAAGTAGTACCATAAAGAATTGCACTAAGTTTTTCCTATCAAATATGTGAAATCTTTAGTCCGTGCTTTTTTTAATTACTACAGTTGCCAATCAATACTTGTTTATCGAGAAATTGGGTAACCTCAAGTAGCATAGTAATTATTATACCTTATTAATCTTTCACAACCACAGCCACATACAAATAAAAAGAGGAACCGAAATCTTTGATTTTACTCCTAGGAGGCAATTTACAACCTGCTGAACTGATCAAAAACTACCTCAGCATTTATCCAGTTTATTTTATGGGCAAATTAACTCAAAGAAAATCCCAAACCGTGAAATGCCCGGGAACTAAACAGAAATAATAAAGACATGTAAAAATAATGGGACTGGTAAAAGAAAAGTCGAAAGAGCTATCAAAAGGCTCCAAACTCTATAGAAATCAGTACAAACATATATATGGTGGCAATGAGATTACGAATTAGTCCAGCGTCTGGGGAACTTTCCTGAACTTTTAAGTCTTAAAGTGAATAGGCAGGAGATGTATAAAACTGTGCCAAGGAGAACATGTAGTACCTAAACCAGTGAAGCTAAATGGTTACTGGAAAAAAATTTCTTCTCAATAGACACAACTCAGAAAGCTACTCCGACACTTGCAATTAAAACGCTTGGGGGACTTGTGTGCTAAGCCAGGGTTTGTTTTAATCACAGTTTGTGATCCAACTGGCTGTGTTCACACAATATATTCTGAAAAAGTCACTGGTAGCAAACCAGAATTTGGGGAGTACAACACCCAACACATCACCAGGAAACCCTGAGAATTGTGTTTCAGGTATATCAGAGGTGTCATCCCTGTTCAACCCACAACAGCCTCCCTGCATTTGACCCTGGCACGATGATGTGTTGTTTCCTAGGTTGGCACATGGGTTCAACCTTCAGCACATGCTAATAGGGATCCCTCGCTCTTTGCCGCCAAGACCAAAGTTATTTCTAATGGGAAATAAAACACTGCCAGGCTGGGTCTTTTGGGCCGTGGTGGCCCCTCATCAAAAATTGTGGGCCTCTTTGCCACCTGGTTCCCAAGCTGTGCCCATTCACAAAATGGTTGCCTGGCTCGTGGTAAAAGCCAACTCAGCCTCTCCCCCCCCCCCAACACAAAGACACTCTTGCAAAGCACAGAAGGCTAGATGTTGCGGTTACATTTTTACATATATATGTATGTATGCATGCATGTGTATGTGTATTTTTTATTTTATACACACACACACACACACACACACATATATACCCTGTTTTCCCTAAAATAAGACATCCCCTGATAATAAGCCCAATTGGGCTTTTGAGCTCATGCAATAAAATAAGCCCCAAAATAATAAGACTTTCTTGTAAATAAGGCCAAGCGCTTATTTCAGGGTTCAAAAAAAATATAAGACAGGGTCTTATTTTCTTATATATTTTAAAATCTTAAGTTCCGGAGTTCGCACTATGTCTGCTTCTTTTTTTACTAATATACCTGGAACTCATATTTTTTGAATAGTTTGTAATACACACACACACACACATATATATAAATATACATATACATATATATTTGTTTTCATAGATTTTCATGGGTAGAGGTATGCAAGTTTTGGTGTATTCGGTCTTTTCCCATGTAAGATTGAGAGTAAGATTGAGATACTCTCAATTTTACATGGGAAAAGACCCGAATACACCAAAACTTGCATACATATATATACACACACGCACACACATATATATATGGCTAGAACAGTAATGCATATATATATATATATACATACATACATACATACACACATACACACACACACACATATATACACACATATATATACATACACGCACACACACACATATATAAACACATACACAAAATAAAAAATACACACACACACCCCTATGCATGCCAAGGTGGCAGCTTACCTTCCTTGCCCCTTTATTTATTTATTTCAATTAAAATCACCTTGTAGCGCAGGTGAGCCAGAAACCCCCCCTCCCCCAATTTGCGAAGGAGACCCAGCCCCGTAACTCAGCTTCCCCCCCCCGGCCGAAAATTTCCGATCCCCCCCGGGCCACCTCAGCTGCTGCCCGGCCCTCCCTGCAACCCACCAAAGTCGGATGAAGCGGCGCTGGCCCGGACCCCAGCCGCCCCTCTCCCGACACCGCCGGCGGGGCCTCCCCACCACAGACACCCCCAGGGCGCCGCCTTGGAGACCCGGCCCGTGTGGCGGGCCCGTTGCCATGGCGACCGAGGTCTCCCGGCCGGGCCTCCTCCTGCTCACCTGCCGGGCCGCGATGGCGCCTCGCGGGATCCGCCGCAGCCGCGAGGACAGGCGCCGCCCGCGGGGACGGAGGGAGGGAGGGCCGGCGGCGGGCGGGCGGACGGGGGCGGGACCGGGAGGCCATCGGCCGGGCCTAGTCTCCCGGCCGGCCTGGCGGACCCGCCCCCTCCTTTCTTCCCCTCCATTTCTCGTCCTTCCTTCTCCTCCCCTCCTGGGGCTTTTTCTCTCCCTCCTTCCTTTCCTCTTCCTATCTGCATTCACCCACCCAGGCCGCTATGGCGCCCTTTCCTCCGCTTTTGCTTTCTGAGGGGTCTCGTTTTTCCTTTCCTTGCAGACGTTTCATGACCCAACTAGGTAACATCATCAGTGCTGCAAGGGAGTGAAGTTGGCTTTTTTGTTTTAATGCAAGTGGCTCGCCTTACTGGACTATAAAATGAGAGGAAGCCCCGCTGCCTTCTTGCACTGATGATGTTACCTAGCTGGGTCATGAAACGTCTGCAAGGAAAGCCACCCAGCTCAGAGAGCACCAAGGACCTCATAATTCAAATCTCTGAACAGGTGGGAATCCTATTGATCTCCCCTCCACTCTAGCACTGATGATGTTACCTAGTTGGGTCATGAAATGTCTATATAGGAAAGGAAAGCCACCCAACTCAGACAGCACCAAGGACCCTGTCAAGTCAACCCTGAGCTACAAATATTCTCCCGTTTTGTTTCTGACTTATAGGAGTCAAGGTTAATGTGGGCTTGGAGAATTGATAGCATGATGAACCTTGACAGTCGTCCATTTAGTAAATCATAGTTCAACAAACCAAGGCTAGCAGTAGAGAAATTATTTCCTGGCATTTGTCACTTGCCTGTACACTGATTTTCTTCCTGAACTCTCAGCTCTTCTTTTGAAGAACAGGATTGGGATTTTGGTTTGCCATTCCCAGGGTGGGCCGAGGGACAGAAATTGGGAAACGTATATCCCAAAGGTGGAAACTTTTCTGAGTCCTGCGTCCATCTTCCACTTCCTGCCTGTGTCCCTTTTCGGTTTATTATTATTTTTTATTTGAAAAATAAATATAACAAACACTTACAGGACCTGGTCTACCCTAATGAAGAGAAGGACTATGGATGACATAATAGCAGGCTTCTAATATTTGATAGGTTGTGTAAAAAAGAGGGGATTAATCTATTCTCCAAAGCATTTAAGGGCAGGACATGAAGTAACAGCTGGAGGAGAGATCCAACCTAGAACTAAGAAGGAATTTCCTGACAGCAAGAACAATTGATCAGTGGAAGGGTTGCCTCCAGAAGTTGTGGGTACTCCATCACGGAAGGTTATAATCAGTGGTAATAAATGTTATCATTAAAATTTAATTATTAATTAACAAATTCATACTTCAGTCAACTTCCTGCCTTTTTTCTTTTTTTTTTCTCCTTCCAATGATCTATGTGTCAGCCAATAATTGATTTTCAGCAATTGCCTGGACAAGTTTTCTTGGAAAGCTTTCTTGTAAATTGTTTGCCATTGCCTCTTTCTTAGAGCTTTGTGGATGTGACTGTCCCAAGGGGAAGGGGCAAGAATTCACCATCTGCCGGTTTCTAGCCTGGTGGCTTTACTACTACACCAAACTGGCCATCCTAGTGGTATACAACCAGCATCTTATTTCCTTGCATGCCATTGGAGCCAAGAGCTTCTGCTCCTTGGATCTCTCCCTACACTTCCATAAACTTCCATTTCTCTTTCTAGAGCAGGGGTATCAAACTCAAGGCCCGGAGGCCAGATCCAGCCCGCGAGGTGCTTAGATCTGGCCCGTGGGGCTGCCCTGGAAACAGCAACGGACCAGCCCGTAGGGCCTCTGCTAGCGAAAACGGAGATTGGGAAGGCCATGCGCAGCTCCCAAGCTCCGTTTTCGGCTGCGATGGCCTCCTGCAACCCTCAGGGCGCTCAGGCCACCACAAGGGCCCCTGACACGAGTGATGTTGAGCTGGTCACGCCCACCCTGGCCATGTCCCCCTCCAGCTCCCCAAGATCAAACACAACCCTGATTTGGCCCTCAATGAAATCGAGTTTGACACCCCTGTTCTAGAGTAAGCCTGCTCTCAAGGATTGCCAGCCTGAGGTCAGTGACACCGTCCAGTAGAAATATATGCTACTTATATTTCTTCTCCCCTACCAGTTCTTAATAAGCCAACTGTGAAATAACCTAAAAATTAAACCTGGATGCATTCACACAATTACGTAAGCTGCTTAGAGGTACCCTTGATTTGTCTTCTATGTGTGCCCAAGCAATAATGCTAGCCCACTGGCTGAATTTATGGTTCAATGTACAATTAAGAACCGAGAAAAATAGGAGCAATCAGGTGAAACGTTGTGCGAAACCATCCAATCTCTGTACTGAAAAATGATACACATTCAAAAAAGATTTTACCTCCATGAAGCTGAGTCCACGCTCAGCATGAGTTGCAATAAGTACAAGAAAAAGGAAGCACCATTTATTTATGAATATTTCCAAGCCCAAAAGCCATTGGAGGAATTCCCCTCATCCCAGGGAAGAAATGAGACACGTTGCTTGCAAAAAAAAGTAGCAAGAACATTTTGAAGCTTCTGGGACGAATTTGGGAGCTTCATTGCTTCTGGCTACAGATCAGAAACCAGCAGATCAATTTGGTTATATCTGACGGTTGAGCAAGAAATGTAGGAACTTTTCTGCTTTGGTGACTGCTGAGATTCCTGGAATTTTTTAATCCTTGCAGGAACTGGAAGCTGAGAATGAGAAAAGAAATGAGAAGCTTTTGATGCGAAGGATCTATTCCCAAGACTTGATTTTATTTCTCTGTCCACGAGCCAAGAGCAGTGACACTCCCAACCATTCCAATCCCGTTGAAAGCTTAGAGTTCCAGGTTGGTGGAAGCACCATAGAGCAATGCTAAAATAAATATCCTGCTGGTGACTATTACAAATACTTCTGTTGTTACAAAAGGGATAACTTGCTTATGACTTCATTTGGAGAATGTATTCTTCCTCTGGAAAAAAATTGAAGAGAGTTTCAAAAGGCTACTTGGGCCCAGTTCCAACATTAAACATTCTCCACAATTTACTGTTCCTTAAAATTGCAAATCTTTTGTTTGGATGTGTTTTCAGCATTTCTTAGTAGCCTTCTAGGGCTGGCTAGATTGGTTGCGATCGAATTCAATCCATTCATAAAGAGTTACTTTCAACCCCCAGGTCCAAAACAGCCTTCTAAAATTTCATGCAGCTCTGTTAGATCTGATAATTTTTGCTGCAAACTGTCCCTGGATTACATGGGTGTTCTTGAGCATTTTAAAGCAGAGAGATCTTCAGAGATCTTGCAGTCCTGTTGCAAGCTAAAAGTCCTGCTGTCGTGCATCTGCAGTCATGCATCTCCAGAAGATGGGCTTGTTATGACCTTTATGAAGCTCGAATTGCATTACCCTAATTTGTACAAGAAAATTAATGGGTATAAGCCCCATCCAAGTCTTCTGAGATGTTAAGCAACATTTATTAGCCTGACAGCTTTCCTGGTTTAGCATGTCTGTTTTACCCTCTGCATAGCTCACTCCTCCAAGCATTCTGATTACAGCATTTATATTTCACAGTAGGGGAATCCCACTGAAATCATCATTGTAATTTATGTAATTTTGGCTCCTCCAGATGCATTTCTATAGAAGCTGCTGGTCTACAAGTGCTTTCTGAATTTATAAAATCAATCAAGATTGGGGTAAGAACAATATTGTCAATGGACATGAAGAGGAGAGATTTAAACCTTCTCTCCCACTGGTGATGATATCTGTTAATGTGTCAATAAAGGAGAATGAAGGTAAGTGCCACATGGATCTCTTCCTCCCAAAGCAAAGAGCAGCTCAAAAATGCTAATCAGAATTGAAACTTATGTCCAGTTTAGAGTCCTTCCCTTTGCGGCTTCCATTTGTATTTTTAAACGCAATTGGAAACTGCATTTAAATGTTAGATTTTAATGTGAAATTGCAACATCATGTCTGGTTTGAACACTACATTCTGTTTTTGAAGAGATGAAAGTTCTTCACTGTGTGTTATGTTTGGGTCTCCAACAAAGTGTCAGACGTGCCAAGAACTAAATCTGGTTTCTGGCCCTGACTGTAAGAGCATCAAGAGCATTCCAATATTTAAGGGGTTGCCACAGAGAGGAGGGGGCCAAGCTATTTTCCAAGGCACCCGAAGGCCAGACAAGGAATAATGGATGGAAACTGAACAAGGAGAGATTCAACGTAGAAATAAGGAGAAATTTCCTGACAGTGAGAACAATCCACCCGTGGAACAGAAGTTGCCTTCAGAAGTAGTGGGAGCTTCATTCCTGGAGGCTTCCAAGAAGAGACTGGACGGCCATCTTTCAGAAAATGGTGTAGGGTCTCCTGCTTGGACAAGGGCGGGGGGTTGGACTAGATGACCTCCAAGGTCCCTTCCAACTCTGTTAATATCCAGACAAACGGAAAGCACCAATATTATTGGAACGTCGAAGGAAAAATTGCATTGTCCCAAATGGCATGCTTAGAAAATATAAAGATTGGAGGGAGTCTGGGGGTTGGTTTGGAAGCGTTAAGGAAAACATGGCAAAAATGGGGAGAAATGGAAAGGAACATCCTGCCAGAAAAAAAAAAGAACAATTTTGGGACAATTTTGGAAAACTAGGCTTATAATGACAGGCATCTCTTCATCCAGGGTGCCCCCCCCAACAAGAGAGAGACCCCCGGATGGGGAGGGAGGGGGAAAGTCACAGCCCCAGAAGACCCCCTTAACCTCCGCATGACGGAATTTGGGGGGGGGAGGGAGAGAGAAGACCACACCCCACAGTTCAAGGGAACCCCGCCCCCTCCCTGCCGCCCCGCCCCGCGGGACCACGACGGCCCTCGGCACTGCGCAGGCGCCATCTAGCTGAGTGAGGAAGGACGCCGTTGATTGGTCGTTCCGGGGACGGCGGCGATTGGCAGAGGCCTCGTTGGGGCGGTCTCTAAAGAGGAACAGGAGGAGCTTCTCGGAAAGGGCGCGCAACGAGGTCCCGCCTCCACTTCTGGGATTAAATAAACGACTGAGGCGATTAATTGCTTCGGCTGCGGACGGGCTCGGAGAGCGGTAGGCCGCCGTCTGAGGGGCGGAGAAGGAAGCCCGAAGCCTGGTCTGGCGAGCGGACGCTTTGAGGTGGAGGCTGTATCCGCCTCAGGTCTGCTCGGAAGGCTCGTGAGAGGCGGAGGCTTCGGCCTGGGCCTCCTCTGAGGGAAGGGGACACAGCGTGACCTGCCTCTCTTTCTGCCCTGCAGGAGGATCGCGGCGGATGCAGGAAAGAGGCGCCGCCCGGGAGGAGGAGGAAGAGGAGAGCGGGCCGCACCGAGCAGCCCTGCCCAGTCCCGGCACGGCTTCCTCTGGAGACGGCGGGGAAAGGCCGGGGGGCTCCGGAGCTGCAGGAGGGAGGAGCCCAGGGGGATCCCAGGAAAGGCGGCTGCCTGGAGGGCGATGCGGGGAGGAGGAAATGGGCGGAGACCCCAAGATTGGCGTGGAGGGCAGAGGCTCCTTTGGAAGACCCCGAAAGCCCCGAAGGATCCAGAAGGAAGCAAAGGAACATCAGTGCCCGGAATGCCAAAAATCCTTCAAAAATAATGAAAATCTGGAAAACCATCTAAGGATTCACTCAAGAGACAAACCATTTAAATGCCCGGAATGCGAAAAATCCTTCAAAAGAAACGACCATCTTGAAAGCCATCTAAGAATCCACTCAGGAGAAAAACCTCATAAGTGCTTTGAGTGTGGAAAGAGCTTTAGTCATTTGGGAAATCTTTATAGACATCAAAGGATCCATTCCGGAGACAAACCACACGAATGCCTGGAGTGCGGAAAGAGATTCAATTTGAGGGAAAGCCTTTATAGGCATGAAAGGATCCACACTGGAGAAAAACCATACAAGTGCCTGGAATGTGGAAAGAGCTTCAATGTGGTCGGAAACCTTTATACACATCAAAGATTCCATTCAGGAGAAAAGCCATATAAATGCCTGGAGTGTGGAAAAAGCTTCACTCTGAGTGGACATTTTTATACACATCAAAGAATCCACACAGGGGAAAAACCCTATAAATGCCTGGAGTGCGGAAAGACCTTTACTGAGGGTGGACAGCTCCATAACCATCAAAGGATCCACACTGGAGAAAAGCCATATAAATGCCTGGAGTGTGGAAAGAGTTTCAGTGAGAGCGGAAGTCTTTCTAAGCATCAAAGAATCCACACAAGAGAAAAACCATACAAGTGTGTGGAGTGTGGAAAGAGCTTTACTGTGGGTGGACAGCTCCATAATCATCAAAGGATCCACACTGGAGAAAAACCATATAAATGCCTTGAGTGCGGAAAGAGCTTTACTGAGGGTGGACACCTACGTCGACATCAAAGGATTCACACTGGAGAAAAACCGTATAAATGCCTGGAGTGTGGAAAGAGCTTCAGTCAGAAGGGACAGCTTTATAGACATCAAAGAATTCACACAGGAGAAAAATCCTATAAATGCCTGGAGTGTGGAGAATCCTTCACAACAAGCAGAAAACTCAGAAATCATCAAAGAATTCACCTGGGGGAAAACCCCTAAAAATTCATGGAGTGTGGAAAAAGTTTCAGTCAAAATACGTTTCAGTAAAAATTATAAACTGTACACACAGAAGAAAGTTTTTAAATGCACAGTGTGTGCTAAATCCTTCAGAACAAATGGCAATTCCAAAACCACCTAAAAATCCATACGGGAGAGAAACATAAATGGACTGATTGTGGCCAGCAAATTCTGCAGCCCTGGATCACATGCACAAGAGTTTCTCTAGTGCTAAGAACCTGCTTAAGTACTTATCACAGACCTAATTACAATCCAATAAGACACAGGTGTGGATATTGCCCATTCAACCTGTGGATGTATACTGTATTATCAGCCCAAACCTTCAAGGATATGCAAACTTGGAAACAGAACCATTTTACTATTTTTTTTTTATTATCATGGTTTATTTAATATCCTAACTTGTGAAACCTAATAATATTGATTTGAATCACATGCTGCATGGTCATTATTTTCTTACAAAATTATCCACCTCTTGAAAATTCTGCAAAAATTCTGCCTAAACCTATGAGTGCCAATGTATTCAATTCCATATACTGATACCATCACAAACTTATTCAATCCATTGGAACAATGTGGCTGTAAAAATACGTGGGCTACAAACTCAAACCATTTCAGTGCTGAGGGAAATACATTCCTTGCCTTGGCTATGAAAGAGCTCTTTGCTAATTCTTTCATATAATATTCCTGAGTCCCTCGGGAATAGGGTGGTATATAAATTAAATAAATAAATATAATCTATATGGGTTTTCCAAATGCCAATAGTATGTAAGACCATCCCAGATATTTTAAAATTCTAAACTTGTCATTTGGGTTCCCTCAGTGTTCCTTTGATGCTTTTTTGATTTTATTTAAAAAAAAACCCAAAAAAACATCGCTACAAGGAACTTTCTAAGGCCAACTAAGGTTTGTTACCATAATAACAATGTCATTGAATATAAGAAAAGTACAACTGGGCCCACTGAATGAAGCAGAGGTAAATTGGAGGAAGGTGACCTGTTGGGTAATGGAGGTTAAATTCTACAAAGGCCACATCTAATGGGGTCCTTTATGATTATATATCTCAATTATGAAAGGATTGAGTATGAAAAGCATAAAAAGCTCAATGGTAGCACACCTAAAGCCTGCGTTTTGCTATTTTACACACTCCTGCAGTTCCCTATCTAGAGGGCACGTACATAATGTACTACGGATAGTCTACACAAGAGTATGTCATAGCCAAAGACAAACTGGCTGAAGGCTAAGAGGCCAACAAATAGGAATACCCAAACCTTGAGGTGCCCCAGATTAAGCATGCAAAGCTCTCCTTGGCAGAGGTTCTCGAACTATGCGTCATGCTTCCTGGGGAGAAATGAACAAACTGGGGAGAGGTGCAAACTGGGAGGGCTTGCCCATAAAAAAATAGGTTGATGTAAGAATTAACTCCATTTCTTTCTGAACAACTGGGTGGTGATCCCATGGATTTGTAGCCTCCAAAACCCGGGCATTGCAAATTTGGCATGGAGCTGATAACCTGATCCCTGAATTTGAGAGAAACTTTGACCTTTGCAAAGGAGCTTATTTGCCCACCCAAAAATACGAATCCCCAAATAACTCGGGCAAAGCAACGGCATTTATTAAGGGGGAATCAAGTCGTCTATAAGGTACAGAAATAAATGATAACATACATTCAGTACATTTGTTGTGTCTATAAGCAAATGATCAAACAAAGATAACCGATTGCACCTGAGACTTGGAATAGCAGAAAATGTGGAGTCTAGATTAGGGGTCCCCAACCTGTGGGCCATGGCCCACTACCGGGCTATGTGAGTGGTTGGCCTGTATGCGCACATCTGTGCGCGCACACCTCCCCACTCGCTCTACCGTTCTTGCCACAGATGTTAGGTGAATCACTGCAGCTGTTAAATTAGTAATACGGTTGTTAAGTGAATCTGGCTTCCCCATTGACTGCTTGTTAAAAAGTCGCAAAAGGGGAACAAATCACCCCTGGACACAGCAATGGTCATAAGTATGAGTCAGTGGCCAAGATCCAAATTTTTATTGTGACCACGGGGATGCTGCAATGGTCATAAATGGAGAAAACGGCCATAAATCCCTTGTTCAGTGCTGTTATAACTTCAAACAGTCACTAAATAAATTTGTAATTCTAGGACTACCTTATATAAGGACTACCTTATATTAAAAACATTTAGGAGAGCAGGCCGCTCCACCCTCAGCATCCCTGCAGGCTGCACAGCACTGCCTGGAAGTGCACTATTTTCAAAGCGGCTGCAAAAAATTGTCCATCTGAAATGTTTCCTACTTCTGGCATGGAGTCACATGGGGCAGGGACACAGAAGACCTCTCTCCTTCCCCAACATCTCTGGAGATTCCAGAAGATCTACAGCAGAATTCCCCAACCTTCCTGGCTTTGTGGACTGGCTGGTGGAGGGGGGGGATGGTTCCACATGAATGGCCAGCAAATTGAGTGTGTGTATGTGCTTGGCTGCTGCTGATGCACAGGATGCATGCATGTGTGTGCGTGCGCTCACCTACCACAGCCCGATTCCGAACAGCTCATGGCCCAGTGGTGGGCCGTAGCCCAGGGACTGGGGACCCCTGATCTACAGTAAAACTTGAGTGATGAGAATGGAGAGGAGGGTGTGGGACTCAGCAGGATGGGAAGAAGGCCCAAAGCCTAAAGGGATGTGGGTTGGAAAAGGCAGGCCGGCAGGCAGGGTGGAATGCTGCAGAGTTCTTTGGCTCAGTGGGAGGAGAAACAATTGGTAGCACTAAAGTAGCTGTAACTTTGAAATTGGGTTGTCACTAAGCGACCGGTCAGAATTCGAGAACTACCTGTAATAATTGCTGACAAACTCAGTCAGTGTGATTTCTGGGTGGCATATCACATAAACGCACCAGGAATCAAAAGAGAAAAGAAGCAACAGCCAATATATAAACAGAAAATCTAGAATCTGAAATCCAGATGGTGGATGGGTTGGCTAAACCCCACAGCCACTGAGTCTTCTTTGGCCGGAACCCAAACCTGCTCCAGATCCCCAAGTCCTTCAGACGGTGGGAAGGAATCTGGACAGCATCATTAAGTCAGCTGGATAGGGATGTAAAATCTAGGTGGTCCCGGCAAAATAATTCACTTATTTAGTCCTCCCGCTGCCCATGTTGCTTGTGAATGAGAAGAGGATGGGTTGGAGATCAGTTGAAGAGTCCCCTAAATTCTCCACGTCTCCCTCCAGGTAGCCGACAGGTCAGTCAGGAGCCTTCGGTGTCTGTGTTGTCGCTTCCTGAGGAATGTTCCCAGTAAGCTTCGTGATAGCGGCTCTCCTGCACCCTTCGTAGAGCTCTCTTTCTGCAAGGAGATTCCACACTGGTTTAGAGCAGGGGTCGGCAACCTTAAGCATTCAAAGAGCCACAAAAGTCCTAACCGGAAGCCCCCCGTTCCAATTTTGGAGCCGACCGGAAGTCCAGTTCCCCCACCATAGAGACTCCTAGCACGGCATCCTTTTTCCTCTACCTGTCCTAACTGAAAGCCCTATCAATTGTGGAGCTGACCGGAAAACTTGTTCCTAACCATAGAGTCTCTTCCTGGTGCGCCATGATTCCCACACCCCCCAAACCAGAAGCTCCTCTCAAAATTGTGGTGCCAACCAGCAATAGGGAGCCGCAGCAGAAGGATGAAAGAGCCACATGCGGCTCCAGAGCCACGGGTTGCTGACCCCTGGTTTGGAGAAAGGAACACAAATGCTGTTTCCGTCAGGCTAAAAACATATAGATGACCTCTGGCAACTCTTGCCAGTTTGTGGTGTTCACCTGGCCTTGAAAGGGCAGAAGGCTGAGCCTGGGAGTTCAGCTTCTCCAGTGACTGGCTCTTGAAATGATGCTCAGCCTTTCCTTCTCGTGCCAACCATCATGGCTGCGACCACCCCTCTCCTGTCCTCAAAGGACCATGGATGTTTGCAGGCCCCGGCTGCAGGCAGGAGAGGCGTCTTTGTCTCTTGCAATCTGCCCTCACAGCTCAAAACTCAGCAAGCTTTTGAAGACAGGAAAAAACCTCTGCGACTTGCGAAACTGCCATGGTTTCTCTCAGGAGCGACAAACAATATGCTGGTTTGGGGAAAAAAAAATTTCTTTTGTCTTAAGAATAACTGATGGGACTAACAGGTGCTCTGCCTCTCCGATGGCATCCTTAACTAACCTTGCAATCCCTAACCCTTGGCAGGTTCTTCACTCTGACATGATGCCCTCCAGGGATGGGTTCTACTTACCTTTACTATTGGTTCGCAACGGAGCCGCGTGCATGCTCTTCTGCGCATTCGCAGAAGCTTTCTGATGACGTCGGGGTCAGTGGACAGAGCCTCCCACCGGTTTTATTTATTTATTTATTTATTATTTAAACTTCTATACCGCCCTTCTCCTTTCGGACTCAGGGCGGTGAACAGCCAAAATAAAAACATTTATACATAAAGTTACAGTTAAAAATAGATTTAAAATAATTAAATAAATTTGGCCCGTAATTTAAAACTTATCAATTTAAAATCCGTATCAAATTTTAAAACCAACCATAAAATCAAGACAGACCGGCTAACTGAAAAAAATAAGTTTTTAGGGCCTGACGAAAAGTCCGGAGGTCGGTTCTATAGAACCGGTTCAAACCGGGGGCAACCCACCACTGATGCCCTCCCCTCCCCTCAGGGATGCATGAAGGCTGATCCAGGACGACTCTTTCCCCAGGAAGGCAAAGCCCTTCTGACTCTGGACACACAGAAACAACAGACCAAGTACTTCCCCTCTGCCTGTACTACAGAAACCTTCATACGAGACTCATCTCACCATTACTTTATAAATAGCCAAGGCTCCCAGGACAATGGAGTGGTGTGGTGGCCTAGAGGCGAAGCTGTTGTCTCGCAATCGGCTGTGAGTTCGATCCTAGATAGAGGCAGATATTTCTCTCTCTGGGCACAATGAGAATATATCAGCTGCGAACTCCGCATTGGCAACAGGAAGGGCATCCGGCCAGTAAACACTCAGCTCCATTTAGTTGCCCAGACTCCACCCCATTGCAAAGGATTATGGGGTCATTAAAGGACAAACAACAACAAGCTAGGACAATTCCACCCTTCCCTGGAGTTTGCAGGGGCTAATCCTGCTACAACATGTTATGTCCCAGGTTCTGTGCAGCAGCTTAAATTCCATCAGGTGATAACAGTGGCATCACCAGATCTTAAAGAGCCTCGGTTCCATGATTCAAGAATGATTTCTACTGTGATAGATTCTGTCTGTCATATTCCAGATTGCTAATTTTCTGATTAGTATTACTAATGTTAGTATAAAGAAGCTACTAACTTACTACAGGTAGTCCTCGACTTATGACCATAATTGAGCCCCAAATTTTTGTTGCTAAGTGAAACATTTGCTAAGTGAATTTTGCTCCATTTTATGAGCTTTCTGGCCTCTGTTGTTAAGTGAATCAGCTGTTACGTTAGTATCACAGCGGTTAAGTTACATGATCCTGGGACACCGCAAGGGTCATAAATACGAGTCAGTTACCAAGCACCTGAGTTTTGATCACGTGACCATGGGGATGCTGCAATGGTCGGTAAGTGTAAAAAACATTCGTAAGTCACTTTTTGCAGTGTCGTCATAATTTTCAGTGGTCATTAAATGGACCTTTGGAAGTCAAGAACTACCTGTAATTACTTGTATCCATAATAAATATTTGATTTGATTTGAATAAGTGATGGGGAAGGGCTTTTTCTGCACCAGGGATTCAGTGCCGAGGGAGATTTACCTCCGATAATGCTCAAAACTGTCCTTCATTCGCCGATGCCCTTTCTCTGGCAGGTCCCCATCCACTGGGCTCCTCCCTGGAGGAAGAAAGTAGAAATGAGGCTCTGAGTAGTATGAAGTTACAGAATTAGGAAGCTCTCAGCAGCTCAAGAGAAGGTGAAAACTGCAGGACCTTTCATGGTGGAAAGGATGCTCAATGTTTGACTCTTCCAGTTTTGTGAATTTGGAATTTCTGCAAATAAGGGAGTGGTAGGGGATGATAATCAAGTCTGAAAACTGGCCACCAAAACACACTTAAGGGGGCTGCAAATACCTCCCCTTGCGTACAAGTCTAGTTCAAAAGGGTTGGAGCAGTGGTGAAATCCAAATTTTTTTACTACTGGTTATGTGGGCGTGGCCTGGTGGACATGGTGTGGATTGATGGGTGTGACAGGGGAAGGATACTGCAAAATCCTCATTCCCTCCCCACTCCTGGGGGAAGGATATTGCAAAATCTCCATTCCCACCCCACTCTGGGGCCAGCCAGAGGTGGTATTTGCTGGTTCTCCAAACTACTCAAAATTTCTGCTTCCAGAACCTGTCAGAACCTGCTGGATTTCACCCTTGGGTTGGAGAGAGAACCAATACATGAGACCAGACAAAACGGTCTTGTGGGATAAAGGAAGTCGGAATGCGCTCCAAGTGTCTGAATGGGCAGTTGGCCTATTTCTGGGCATGGATCTAGCTGGGTTCTGAAATAGGGCTAAATTCGTGCCCCAAACAAGCTTGGCTGACAATTCACTGGTGTAGAGGAGGGACGGGGGTGGTAGATCATGGTAACCTTTCCTGATCCATTGGTAGGACTTCCAGGATCAAAATCCTCCTTGTGGTTGAATTGCAGAGCAGGAGAAAGAAAGAGAGAGAGAGAGAGAGAGAGAGAGAGAGAGAAGAATAGCTAATCACAGTTGAACATACTTGGCTTGGTGCCTTTCCTATCTTCGTCTGGATTTCCCTGGGGAGTCAGCTACGAGCAAGAAAGGGGGAGAAGGGTGCAAAATGAGAATAAATTCTATTTTTGAAGGAATATTACTTTCCTTTTTTGGTTTACGAAATGCAAAAAGTGATGTTTCCTGTAATAATTTTGAAATAAACCTGCATTTAGAACTGCAGAAAAAACAACTACTAGCAACCTGCCTTCCATGGAGGACCTGTATACTGCACGAGTCAAAAAGAGGGCTGTGACAATATCTACAGACCCCTCACATCCTGGACATAAACTGTTTCAACTCCTACCCTCAAAATGACGTTATAGAGAACTGCACACCAGAACAATTAGACACAAGAACAGTTTTTCCCCAAACACCATCACTCTGCTAAACAAATAATTCCCTCAACACTGTCAAACTAGTTACTAAGTCTGCACTACTATTAATCTTCTCATTGTTCCTATCACCCATCTCCTCCCACATATGACTGTATGACTGTAACTTTGTTGCTTATATCCTTATAATTTATATTGATATTGTTTCCTAGTATGATTTGATTGCTTATTTGTACCCTATGACTATCATTAAGTGTTGTACTTTATGATTCTTGATTAGTATATCTTCTCTTTGTATGTACACTGAGAGCATATGCACCAAAGACAAATTCCTTGTGTGTCCAATCACACTTGGCCAATAAAGAATTCTATTTTAAGGTGCTGTCAAGACACAGAACTAAACTTTAAAACGAAATCCATCCAACGAATGCAGAAGAGATAGAAATTTTATGTCTCATCATTTCAAAAATATAGCAAATTCCTGATGTACAGTAACTCAACATTGCTTGGGATTTTTTTTTTTTATGTTTTGATTGCAATGCAATGGGTTGGTCGTTCTTAAACTTGGAGCAAGCAGAAATCAAGCCTTTTTGCTTAATGTATGAATTGGTGTATGTAAACCCACAAAAGATGAAGTTAGTAAACAGCTGTAGTGTGCTGTGTGAATGCAGTCTCTGCAACATAAGCAACTAGGGATCAGACCATTTCCAGATTCCCCTTCTTTCTCCCATGTGACCCCCAGTCTGTGGCTGTGAGAATCTGCAGCGCTGCCCAAATGGGGCAGGAGGAATAGTAAAAATAGGGAAGCAGATACTCATAACTCACCTCTTGAGAGCTGCGGGATGAGTTTTCTTCAAGATCTGAAGCCTGGAACAACAAGAAGTTAATTGGAAAGATGTTAAAAACAGTTCATTAAGGTTTCTTATAATACTACGTATTTATTATTCCTGCATGCTACCCAGAAACCTTTCCACAGCAGAAACCAGCAAGGGATACGTCATCTCTTGGATACCATCCCTCCCACTGTCGTAACTGGCCATGAATGAACATTCACATGAATAGAAATAACACTTATATACTGCTTCCCAGTGCTCTGCAGCCCTCTCTAAGCAGTTTATAGAGTCAGCCTCTGGGTCCTCATTTTACCCACCTCAGAAGGATGGAAAGGCTAAGTCAACCTTGAGCCGGTCAGGATCGAACTGCTGGCAGTCGGCAGTGTTAGCTTGCAATACTACATTCTAACCACTGCACCACTACGGCTCCTAATGCAACATCCAATCAGCTATAGCAATAGCCATAGCCCTTAGACTTATATACCACTTCACAGAGCTTTACAGTCCTTTCTAAGCGGTTTACAGAGTCAGCCTCTTGCTCCCAACAATCTGGGTCCTCATTTTACCCACCTCGGAAGGATGGAAGGCTGAGTCAACCTTGAGCCAGTCAGGATTGAACTGCTGGCAGTGGGCAGAGTTTGCCTGCAATACTACATTTTAACCACTGTGCCACACCGGCTCCTTTCCCGATGGCACTTTTCCCGACAACCTACCATGGTGGAGGGATCGCGACACAGCCGTTTCAGCTGGGTTTCGGCACTCAGCAGCCGTCCCTCTTTCTGGAAGAGCTGGAGCTGAAGTTCGTCACAACGTTCCCCAAATTCCCGGATCTGCTTCCGGTAGCTGTCTTTCTCTCTCAGGCCTTGGGAGTATTGCTTGTGGCATTCCTCCTGGGTCAGAAGAGCCTGCAGCCATCCCGTCAGGGAGCAGGGAAAGAGAGTTGCCAGAAAAGCCCACCAACCGGGCAGACTGAGCCAGCCAGCACAGAGGCAAGGATCCCCAGCCCTGGCTGGGCTCACGCAGCACACTGAACCCCGAATGCGAGCTGATGGAACACAGCTGCTGTGCTCATGTAACACGTCACGCCCAAATAATGCGTTCCCCACATCTGCCACGGAATGCTTCTCACCGGATCCTGAACCACAAAGCACGCAAACCCATTTTAGCTCGGCTTGTGTGTTGGGCCACCTCAGGTCCCATCGGTTGAGGTGCCATCCTTGGGATCTAAGTGCCCCCTAGGTAATTCCCAAAGCATGTTCCCATTTCCACGGCATTGTTCTGGGGCAAGGTCTTCCCCATAGCATAGGGGTGTCAAACTCGAGGCCTGGGGGGCCGGATCTGGCCCGTGAGGTGCTTAGATCTGGCCCGCGGGGGCGGCCCTGGAAACAGCAAAGGAAAGGCCCGCCGTGCCTCTGCCAGCAAAAACGGAGCTCGGGATGGCCGTGTGTGGACCTCGCGAGCTCTGTTTCTGCTGGCAGAGGGTTGCAGGAGGCCGCTGCAGCTGAAAATGGAGCTTGGGAGCCCGTTTTCACTGGCAGAGCACTCGGGCCACCACAGGCGCCCCCCAACATGAGTGACGTCCAGCTGGCATGCCCAATCTGGCCATGCCCCCAGCCCCCCCCCCATGTCAAACACAGCCCTGATGCAGCCCTCAATGAAATCAAGTTTGACAGCCGTGCCATAGCAGAATCAGTTGACTATCCTTGCTCTGCGGGGTTCCTCAATTTCCTCACCTCCAGGCTTGTGGGCTAGTACTGTGTCATCCCCACTTGGAATAATAGCCACAAGGCATCTGCAGTCCACACGTGGGTTGAGCTTCCTCTCCCAGAATGATGTAGAAGTAACTTTTCCATAGAGCCCTATAGCTTCCTTCTGCTTTGAAACTGCAGTATCAAAATCAGCCACCAGTGGGCAGTATTGACAAATCCTTTCCCAAGTACTAGTGCTCTGCAGTTTCAGTACCTACCCTCAGTCAACAGAGGGCAGAATTTTCCAATGTATCTCAGCATTTCCCCAACCGTGGCAACTTTCCGATGTGCATCTCAATTCCCAGAATTCTCAACAATGGCCACACACTCAGGCTGGGGAATTCTGGGTAGTGAAGATCACACGTTGAGACATTGTAAGGCTGACAAACACGGACTGATCCCTTCCTCTTAAAAAGCTGAAACCATGCTATTCTTCCATAGTTATTTATTTCTAATAAGACTCACTGATTTTTAGGAGCCTTGTTAGGTCTTCTTGGGGAGGGGGGTTGGACTAGATGACCTACAAGATCCCTTCCAACTCTGTTAGTCTATTAGAGAAGAAAACTGAGGGTGATACATTCTGGGAGTTGAAATCCAGCCCATCAGGGGCACCAGGTTGGGGAAAGAGAGGGTGATCCTTACCTGATCTCTTTCAGCAGCCACCTCTTCCAGCTGTTTTAAAATAGCCTTGATACGATTTTGGTAAATTTGATTATCGTTTTGCAAGGAAGTGCATCTCAGTTCCAGGAGCTCCTTTTCTCCTACAAGCTGGCAAAACAATACAATACAAGTCAGTGGGAGAATCTCTGGCTATTGTCTCAGGCAGAGCAGAGTTTCTTAACTAGATTTTGAGTGAGAAGGGGAATGAACATATTCACCTAAATCATCATCATCTGCTTTTAATGACCACATAATCCCTTGTGGGGTAGAGTCTGGGCAACTGAATGGAGCTAACTGAGTGTTTACTGGCCAGATGCCCTTCCTGTTGCCAATGTGGAGTTTTGTTCAGCAGCTATAATCTCATTGTGCCCATAGAGAGAAATATCTGCCTCTACCTAGGATCGAACTCACAGTCTCCTGATTGTGAGGCAAGAGCTCCACCTTTAGGCCACTGCACCATTCCCCGTATTCACCTAAGTGGTCCTTTTAAAAACCTTTCAGAAAAGAAACAAGAATGATTCTGCCTGAAACAGCAACCATCTCTATCTGCTCAGGTAGCTTCAAATTCAAAGCAAGGCTCTGAGCTGCCTCCATCCAAACTCTGAAAGTTGGAGAAATCTTGGAGTCCAGGTGAATCCTTCCCAATGGCCTTCAGGACTGACCATCTGCCTTGGCCATTTCAATCTCGAATAGAATACAACCTTGTGAGGTGGGAGGAGATACCAAAATAGTGTCAGGGGTTTGAGTAAAAAAGTAGAAAGGGCTCATTTCCGCCCCGCCCCCCCAAAAGTCTCTGTTAGGATATGGTTTGAGCCTAACAGGTTGTCCAGGCAATATATGTGTTCTGTGACTTTAACATGAATATGTATTGTGTGACTTTAAAGTTTTACTGCTGATTCATTGTAATGCTGAGTCATGCTGTAATTAGATAATCACTAGTTGTAAACGTATTTAAGAAAGGTACTGTAACATATTCAGTTGATGATATGCTACCATTGTGTGTGGAGTTGCTACCATTGTGCTATCATCGGTGGATGGATCTGCTACCATCGTGGTTTGTTACCAGAGTGAACTTGTAATTCTAACCAACTACTGTTTGTATGGTAAGAAGATTTTTGTATCACTGGACTGATTTAACTGGCAAAGACTTGGATTGTTTAAAGACTATGAGATTGTTTTGTCACTATAAAGTAAACTTTTGATAAACCAGTTTGCACATCTCTTATTCATTGCTCTCAGCAACGTTTCTCTGTGTTCTACACTCTGCTGGTTGGTAACACAACAATATCCTTAACAGTCTCTACATATTCTGGGGAAAATATGGGGAGAAAATCTGCTTTTAATGAACAAGAAAGGAGCTGCCCTTGTCAGGATCACAAAACACTTCCTTGGACTCGTTTTTAAACCAGGTTTAAAGCAGAAAAGGTTGCCGAGAAAATTACAGGGACTTGAACTTTTAGTTTCCAGTGATTTGAGAGTCAAAAAATCCTGTAAATTAAATGCCACGGAAGGGTAGAACGTAGTTTAGCCATCGTGGTTCATATAGCCCTGAAAGCTAAGATAAGCAACCCATGATAGTATTTTGATGAGATGTGCAACCTGGAGAGTTGGGTCTTAATACTGTGGAAGAAAAATGTGGTGGTAGGTTGCTGATGAGAGGATTCATTCATTCAGATTAACAGAGTTGGAAGGGATCTTGTAGGTCATCTAGTCCAACCCCCCAACCAATCATTCTGACAGATGCCAGCCCAGTCTCTTATTGAAGGCTTCCAGTGATGAAGCTCCCACAACTTCCGAAGGCAACTTCTTTTCCATTGGTTGATTGCTCTCACTGTCAGGAAATTTCTCATTTCTAAGTTGAATCTCTCTTTGGTCAGTTTCCATCCATTATTCCTTGTCTGGACTTCTGATGCCTTGGATAGTACTTTAATCCCTTCTTCTCTGTGGCAGCCCCTCAAATATTGGAAGGAGGGGGATCATGGTTCCATTTTCAGGATACCCAGGTCAGAAGAAAGAAAGAAAAGAAAAGAAAAGAAAAAAGAAAAGAAAAGAAAAGAAAAAAGAAAAGAAAAGAAAAAAAGAAAAGAAAAGAAGAAAAAAAGAAAGAGAAAGAAAGAAAGAAAGAAATAAAAAGAAAAAGAAAGAAAGAAAGAAAGAAAGAAAGAAAGAAAGAAAGAAAGAAAGAAAGAAAGAAAGAAAGAATCAATCCAGAGCTTCACCTGGCCTTTGTATCCACGATGTCCAGTCCGATCGGGAAAGGAGAAAGACAAGTGTGAAGCCAGGCTCAATTCTAAATCTGATTCGCTTTCATTGACAAGGTCAAGTAATCCAGTAAAACACGGGGATTCGGCTCTTCCCCTTGGATTCCATCATTAACCTCCACACATCGATTCAGAATTACAGTACTAGAGAATGAAGAATTCCTTCATTCCTTCCAGATGAAGAACTGCAGTTGGAGGAATCTCCTGGAGGGAAGTGGAGGCATTTGCAGAGTTCTTGTCATGGCCCTGTCAGAGCCTGGGTCTGAGGAGGAGGATGAGAGGGAGCCGGGGACGATGGAGGAGGATCATGTAAGGGGGATCCCCCCCATCCATTGCACCCCCCTAGCATGATTCTCCTCCATGGGCTCCGGCTCTGTTTCGTCGTCCTCTTCGGACCCAGGCTTCGAAGTTCTCAAGGGCTTCTCAGGGCTCCTGGTGAAGTCTTCATGCTCTTCCTGTTGCCTCCAGTTGTCCCCCTTGAGACTCTTCCTGCCTCCAGCAATCTCCCCCATGCTCTTTCCGAAGCGATCAGTGTCCCACCAAGACATAATGTTGTGGCTTTGTAGGCCTGACCACTTACTTTATCCCGCCTGTCTTCGGCTCTCTGGAGCGCTTGGCGTAAATCACAGGTAGTGTTCACCAGCTCCTGCTGCTCCTTCAGCACCCGCCTCCACTCGGCCTCGAGAGCCTGGAGGGAGACCCCGTCCTTCTCGGAGCTGCCGTTCTTGGTGACCTGGAAGAGAGGAAAGGCACAAAATAGGCACCCCTTCACATTTCCCTCCCCCGCCTTTGTGAGCCGCGGTGGCACAGTGGTCAGAGTGCAGTACTGCAGCTACTTCTGTTGACCGCCAGCTGATTGCAATTTGGCAGTTCAAATCTCACCAGGCTCAAGGTTGACTCAGCCTTCCATCCTTCCGAGGTCAGTAAAATTGTTGGGGACAAGAGGCTGAGTCCTAGAGAGGGCTGTAAAGCACTGTGAAGCAGTATATAAATCTAACTGCTCTCTCTCTCCTCTCTCTCTCTCTCTCTCTCTCTCCCTCCCTCCCTCTCCCTGTGGTGGTGCAGTGCTTAGAATGTAGTATTGCAGGCTAATTCTGCCCACTCCCAGGAGTTCAATCCTGACAGGCTCTATATATCTATATATCTATACATCTATACATCTATATACCATCTATACGTATACCTATATCTATATATCTATCCAAGAGCCACGGTGGTGCAGTGTTTAGAATGCAGTATTGTAGGTTAACTCTGCCCACTGCCAGCTGTTCGATCCTGACCTGCTCTATGTCTATATTTATATCTAGCTCTAGCTCTAGATCCATATCCATATCTATATCTATCCAAGAGCCACGGTGGTGGAGTGTTTAGAATGCAGTATTGCAAGTTAACTCTGCCCACTGCCAGTTCGATCCTGACCTGCTCTATGTCTATATTTATATCTAGCTCTAGATCCATATCCATATCTATATCCATATCTATATCTATCCAAGAGCCATGGTGGTGCGGCGGTTAGAATGCAGTATTGCAGGCTAACTCTGCCCACTGCCAGCAGTTCAATCCTAACCAGCTCAAGATTGACTCAGTCTTCCATCCTTCCGAGGTGGGTACAATGAGGACCTAGATTGTTGGGGGCCAGAGGCTGACTCTGTAAACCGCTTAGAGAAGGCTGTAAAGCACTGTGAAGTGGTACATGTATCTAAGTCTAAGTGCTATTGCTAAGTGCTATTGCTATAAACAGCCAGACTATTTGCAGAGATCCCTTTCAGTGAATCCTTCCTTTTTGCAAAGCTGTCAAACTTAAATTCAAGAATTTAAGACTTTCTTGTAGAGTTCCCATCAAAAGTTGCATCCCATCAAAACCTTTTATCTGCAATTTTGTTCAAGGGGCCGCAGATATTTGCGGACCCTCTTCCCACCCCGTTCTGCCAGTCGTTCCCCCTTCCTGAACCAGAAGGGACCTGCAGGGTGCTCTCCAGCTCCTTGTTCTTGGCCAACAGCAGGTCCTTCTCCCGCTGGATTTCCCACACCGCCTCGTGGCTAGGCCGCTGCTCCATGGCTTCCTTCAGGTTTAGCGTGTGCTTCCGTTCCAGGCTGCAGTGATCTTCAGCCTTGATCAGGCTGTGCTGCAGGCAGTCGATCTTGTGGGGGCAGGAAAGGAAGGACAGATCATTGGTGGGGTGGGAAGATCAATTCCTGCGTGTGGCCTCCTTTTTTTAAAAAACAGTTTATTTACAGTAGTGGCCAAAATTATGGAAACCGTTTGGGAAAAGTGTATTTTCTAAAACTAGCTAATAACACCACTTTTTTTGGAGGAGTACCATAAAATTATATATATATCAATGGAAAGATAATTTAATCAACAATGTAATGCAATAACTTTTATGACGGATTTATTTTATTTATTTATTTATTTTATTTATTTATTAGATTTCTATACCGCCCTACTCCCGAAGGACTCAGGGCGGTGCACAGCCAAACAATAAAAACACATACATACAAAATTTAAAAAATAGAATAAAATCAAATTAAATAATTTTGGCCCCGACAAATTTAAAACCCCAAACTTTTAAAACCAATTTAAAATTGAATATATAAAATACTAAAAGATATTTAAAATTTTAAAAATCTTTTATAAAAGAGGGGGAAAATTAGGCCAGGCCGGCCTGGTGAAATAGTAAGGTCTTTAAGGCGCGGCGGAAGCTGCGCAGATCCGGGATCCTCCGTATCTCTGGGGGGAGCTCGTTCCAGATAGTAGGTGCCCCCACAGAGAAGGCTCTCCCCCTGGGGGCCGCCAGTCGGCATTGTTTGGCTGACGGCACCTGGAGGAGCCCCTCTCTATGGGAGCGTACCGGCCGGTGGGAGGCTATTGGTGGTAGTAGGCGGTCACGCAAGTACCCGGGTCCTAAGCCATGGAGCACTTTAAAGGTGGTAACCAGAACCTTGAAGCGCACCCGGAAGACCACCGGGAGCCAGTGCAGCTTGCGCAGGAGGGGTGTTACATGGGAACGCCATGTCGCTCCCATTACCACCCGCGCGGCCGCACTCTGCGCCAGTTGGAGCCTCTGGGTGCTCCTCAAGGGGAGCCCCATGTAGAGAGCGTTGCAATAGTCCAGGCGGGAGGTGACAAGGGCATGAGTGACCGTGCGTAATGAGTCCCGATCCAGAAAGGGACGCAACTGGCGAATCAGGTGAACCTGATGAAAAATCCTCCCGGTCACGGCCGTCAAGTGCTCTTCTAAAGACAGCCGTGAATCCAGGAGGACGCCCAAGTTGCGAGCCCTCTCCGTGGGGGCCAATGATTCGCCCCCAATAGTCAGTGATGGCGTCAACTGACTATATCGGGACGTCAGAAACCACAGCCACTCAGTCTTGGATGGGTTGAGCCTGAGCCTGTTCCTCCCCATCCAGATCCGTACGGCCTCCAGGCACCGGGACATCACTTCAAGGGCATCGTTGGGGTGATCTGGGGTGGAGATGTACAGCTGGGTGTCGTCAGCGTACTGATGGTACTCCACCACAAAACCACGGATGATCTCGCCCAGCGGCTTCACATAAATGTTGAACAGGAGAGGCGAGAGGACCGACCCTTGCGGCACCCCACATATGAGGGGCCTCAGGGTCGACCTCTGTCCCTCTGTCAACACAGACTGCGACCGGTCAGAGAGAAAGGAGGAGAACCACCGCAACACAGTGCCTCCCACCCCCTACTCTTCCAACCGGTGCAGCATGATACCATGGTCGATGGTATCAAAAGCCGCTGAGAGATCTAACAGGACCAGGACAGAGGAGCACCCCCTGTCCCGAGCCCTCCAGCAATCATCAACCAACGCGACCAATGCCGTTTCCGTGCTGTACCCGGGCCTGAAGCCCGACTGGAACGGATCCAGATACGTCGTTTCATCCAGGTGCTGGGGGAGCTGTTGCGCAACCACACTCTCAACAACCTTCACAACAAAGCGAAGGTTGGAGACCGGACGATAATTTACCAACATTGCCGGGTCCAGGGAAGGCTTCTTGAGGAGAGGCCTCACCACCGCCTCTTTCAAGGCGGCGGGAAAGTCACCCTCACTCAGAGAAGCGTTTATAATCCCCTGGAGCCAGCCTCGTGTCACTTCCCGGGAAGCCAGTACTAACCAGGAAGGACACGGGTCCAATAAACAAGTGGTCACGTTCAGTCTACCCAGAATCCTGTCCACGTCCTCAGTGGTCACAGGATCAAACTCATCCCAGATAACATTGTCAAGACCTGCCCCTGTCTCTCCCCCTGAGACTACCCAGTCGGAGTCCAAATCTTCCCGAATCTGAGTGATTTTGTCATACAGATACTGAACAAAATCCTCGGCTCTACCCTCCAAGGGGTCCTCCCGCGCTTCCTGGTGGAGCAGGGAGCAGGTCACCCTAAAGAGGGCGGCTGGGTGATTATCTGATGATGCAATAAGAGCAGCAAAATAACTACATTTCGCTGCTTTTATCGCCACTAAGTAATTCCTAATGTGGGATCTTACTAGTGTCCAGTCAGATTCAGAAAGACTGGCCCTCCAACTACTCTCTAGGCGTCTTTTCCAGCGCTTCAACTCCCTCAGCTCCTTGGTAAACCAAGGAGCCAATTGAGATCGGCGCCGGGTCAGAGGCCACAAAGGCACGACCCGATCCAGAGCACCAGCAGCCGCCCTATCCCAGGCGGCCACCAGGTCTCCAGTCGAGGCGTGTGCCAGAACCTCAGGAAATGGCCCAAGCTCCGTCTGGAATCTATCAGGTTCCATCAGGCGCCTGGGGCGGAACCATCTTACCGGCTCCGCCTCCCTGCGGCGGGGTGCAGCGGTTCGAAAGTCGAGACGAAGGAGAGAGTGATCTGACCATGACAAGGGTTCAGTAACTATTTCCCCTATATCAAGATCCCTCAACCACTGTCCAGAGACAAAAACCAGATCCAGCGTGTTTCCCCCTGTGTGGGTAGGGCCATGAATTAACTGGGTCAGGTCCATAGCTGTCATGGAAGCCATGAACTCCCGAGCCATCTCTGACGTCTCACCCACGGACGGCAGGTTGAAATCCCCCATGACCATAAGCTTAGGGGTATCAACCGCCACCGCGGCGATGACGTTGAGTAGCTCGGGCAGGGCTGTTGCCATGTGGCAGGGAGCCAGGTACGTGATCAGCAAACTCATCTGAACCCCATGACCCCATTTCACAAAAAGGGATTCACAGCCGGCCGTCTGAGGAACAGTGGCCTCCCTCGGTCTCAGACCTTCTTTAATGATAACCGCTACCCCCCGCCTCGGCTGATGGAATGCTTGGAAACCTGGCGGGCACATTTCAACGAGGGGAACCCCCCCCCTCCTGGCCCAACCAGGTCTCCGTAATACCTGCCAGGTCCGCACCCTCCTCCTGAAGATCACAGATGAGGGGGGCTTTATTTACTACGAACCTGGCATTGCACAGCATCAGCCGAAGGCCTGGGTCCTGAGGGTCTATGCAACCTGAGGAGCGAGTAGAGCCTTGGGGGCCGGAGCACGCCACCGCTTGTAGACAGCGAGTGCGCACTCCCTTAACACGATATGGCCCCCTGCTCCCGCCATATCGATTTGCTATTTGCGATTTGCTATTAGAATAGCAGTTACAGTATATTTTAGTATGAATTACGGCCTTACAGCGTCTTCCCATGGAGTGAACCAAGATTGAAGGATGGCTTCTGTTAACATGCACGCGTGCGCCTCCCGCCGGGCAGCTAGTTTTTGGGATGTGCAGGGGGCTCATGCGGGAGACACGTGTGCATTCGTGGAGGGTTGCAGGTGCATGTGCAGGGGGCGAAGGGAGCACGGGGGTGCACTGCACCCCCCCCATGCCCCATTTTTGGTCCCAGGAGGCTGCAGAGAGGCCTACTAGGTCCAAAACGGGGCACTGGGAGGTGCGGTGTGTCCCTCCCCCATGGCCCATTTTTGGTCCCAGGAGGTTGCAGGCCTGCTAGGCCCAAAATGGGGCCTGGGGGGGAGAAACAGGACAAGAAACAATGGATGGAAACTAACCAAGAAGAGAAGTAACCTGGAATGAAGGAGAAACTTCCTAACAGGGAGAATAATTAACCAGTGGAACAGCTTCCCTCCCTAAGTTGTAGGTGCTTCATCACTGGAGGTTTGTTGTGACCCCGACTCCCGAGCCTGTCGTAACAGAGGAAGAGAACTCAGAAGGTGATGGGGAGGAACTGACAAGGCCTCCCTCTCCAGGACCCTCCTTTCTGGCAATGCCTCAGGTTCCATCCGAAGGCCAGGAGGAACAGCCTGGGATGTGCCAGGAGGAAGGCATATCGGAGCACCCATTGATAGGGAGCAAGGATGATGAATCCTGGCTTGATCCCAGACAGCGTCGGAGGGAGAAGCGTGTGCAGCAACGGAAGAGGCATGGGAGGGCCAGAGATTGAGCTGAGTCATGGAGCCACACCCCACCAGGAATAAAACTGGGTGGGATTTCTCTTCGGTTTTGGTGACGGACAAAGTTAAACCCTGAAAGTCACATTCGGCTTGGATATATTGTGGACTGAACATTGACTAAAGTCTTGTCTCGTGGATAATTTGTTGCTCCTGGAATGGACTGAAGATAAGTCCTCTTCTGCTTTATGGGAGTGAAAACGGTCTTGGCAGGCATTCGGCAGTTTGCTGCCAAAACCTTAGTCTGCCAAGAATTCTAATCTGTTTACCTAATAAAATATTGGCAGGCGTGCTTGGTATTACGTTTGCCTGTGTGAGGAAGGGGGACAAAACATCATCCATTGTTTCTTTTCCTGCCCTCTGGTGCTTTGGAAAATAATTTGACCCCCCCTCTTCTTTGTGGCAGCCCCTCAAATACTGGAATGCTGCTATCGTCCCCCCTAATTCTTCTTTTCTTAGACTAGCCAAACCCAAATCCTGCAGCCGTTCTTCATATGTTTTAGTCTTCAGGCCTTTAATCATCTTAGTTCTTAATTTTTTTTTCTTTTTAATTCTTAGATATTAGTGTCTTGTCACACAGCAAGTTGTCGTGTGGCAAGTTGGCTGCGGTAAGTTGGCCATGTCGCTTGGGTTGTGGGGAGTTGGCCGCGGTGATTTGTCGTAGACACCCCCCCACCCCCAATAGAGGGTAAACCACAAAGCACATCCTGACATGAAAATAACCAAACTCATAGAAACGTGGGGCCAGGTTTTAAATCTGCCTGGCTAAATGAGTAGTATAAACACAGCTCATGCAGAGGTGGGTTTCAGCAGGTTCTGACCAGTTCTGGAGAACCGGTAGTGGAAATTTTGAGTAATTCGGAGAACCAGAAAATACCACCTCTGACTGGCCCGGACCGCATCTATTCTCTGCCTCCCAAGTCCCAGCTGATTGGGAGGAAATGGGGATTTTGCAGTAACCTTCCTCTGGATTGGGGAGGAAATGGAGATTTTACAGTATCCTTCTCCTGCCACGCCCACCAAGCCACACCCACAAAACTGATAGTAAAAAAATTTGAATCCCACCACCGAGCTCATGGCAGAGTTGATATCGGAATTCAGGTATTCCCAGATTAAGTTCACATCAATTCTAACACCCCATTCCTGGCCTGTTCTGTTTCCCCTTGCCCAAGGGAAGCAAGGAGTGGCAACAAAGCATCCTACCTCCAGCTGTAGGTCCCGGTTCTTCATCAGGGCCACATTCTTCTCCTCACTCTGCTTGGCGTACTTCATGGCCAGCTTGTAGTTCTCCTCTCGGCACAGCATCAATTCCTTGCTGAGGGAGTCCCTCTCCTCCTTCACCTTGTGCGCCCGCTCCTGGTACTTGCGCAGGACGCTGTCCCTCACCCTCATCTCCTTGATGGTGTCCTCCTTGGTGCTGAGGGTCACGTTCAGCTCCTGGACCTTCTGCCTCTCTTCTCGGACGGCCGCCTGCAGCTTTGAGACCTCGCTCATCAGCACTTCCATCAGGCCGGACTCTCCCGCCGTGTCTGCAGAGCAGAGGAACCCTGGTGGGTGAGCACAAGGCGGGGACCCAAAGAGCACGACAGAGGTAGACCAAGGTGTTCCCCAAGTTTCATTACTTTGCCAGATGCCTCCCATTGCTGAAATCTTGACTGTCAAGCTTCAAAAGACATTTTTGCTATTGCAACTATTATCACTTCTCAGCTTGCCAATGAACCATGGGTGGGGAGGGGAGAGGGAAAGGGTACATAGAAAGTAAGAAAGTTTCAGGCATCAAGATGGGAACCAAGGACACTTCAGCAGACGTTTGCCAGAACTTTACCAGGCGTTCCCATAACAATACCAAGAAATTCCATTGGAAAATGTGAGGTGGTGGGGAGTGAAAGGTGTTGTGACTCCGACTCCCGAGCCTGTCCTCATGGAGGAAGAGGACTCAGAAGGTGAGGGGGAGGAACTGGCAAGGCCTCCCTCTCCAGGACCTTCCTCTCTGGCAATGCCTCAGGTTCCATCCAAAGGCCAGGAGGAACAGCCTGGGATGTGCCAGGGGAAGGCATTTCGGAGCACCCATTGATAGAGAGTGATACTGATGAAGCCTGGCTTGATCCCAGGCAGCGTCGGAGGGAGAAGCGTGCGCAGCAAAGGAAGAGGCATGGGAGGACCATGGATTGAGCTGAGTCACTGAGCCACGCCCCACAAGGGATAAAAGGGGGCGTGATTGCTCGGCAGGCTTTCTGATGGACAAACTTTTAAACTCTAAAGAGTCACATCGTGAATCCTGCACTTCGACTCGGATATATTTTGGACTAAACTCTTGTGGATAATTTGTCGCTCTGGAAACGGACTGCAGATAAGGCCTCTCCTGCTTTTTGGGAGTACTAGTTGGATTTGGCAGGTGTTTTACAAGTAGCTGCCAGAACTCTCGTCTGCCAGGAATTCTGGTCTGTTTATACAATACATTATTGGCAGGTGTGTTGGATATTGCATTTGTCTGTGTGAGGACGGGGGACAGAACAAAAGGGTACATAGAATGTAAGAAAGTTCCAGGCACCAAGGACACTTCAGCAGGTGTTTGCCAGAACTTTACCAGAGGTTCCCATAACAATACCAAGAAACTCCATTGGACAATGTGACTTGGTCTCACAGAGGGGGGGGGAGAACCTGAACTTGAATTACGTGGGTCTGTGTGGGAATGAGTTAGGTCTGGTTTTGCTTTCATTCTCTGCCGAAACAGTGTACTCAATGAAGAGTACACTATTTGCATGAACAGATTGGATCGTCTCGTCAGTGCTTGCTAGATTGGGTTCATCATTCAGAACCTTGACATTGACTTCAGTTGACCAAAGATGGAACTGTGATGTCAGCAGAAAGCCTCAGGAGAGCTACCAGAACAAAGTATTACCTATTATCATGGAGAAGACCCGGGTGGGCTCGTTGCCTGTTATTTTCTTGTAGAGATGTGGGTAGTACAATTCCAGACTCTCCAGGAAAGCCACAAACCCCTTTTTGCCCGTTCTCTGGAGGAGATCTAGGAGCAGTCCTGAAAAAGATGGACAGAGCACTGTTTAAAACCTCAATTTCTGGACTGGACAGATGGTTGAATTCAGTGGTCCAGCACAAAGTAATTTCTAATCTTTTGCCTCTCTTTAAATGCCTAAAGATAACAAAGACGTTCCAGATGGGCTCTTCGAAGCCCAGTTATATATAAATAATAGTAACAGACTTGGAAGGGACCTTGTAGGTCATCTAGATCAACCCCACCCCCCAACCAAGCAGGAGGCTTGATGCGACACTCAATTCTCAAGAAACAGGTGCACCGATTTCTCCATAGCTTCCTGTCAGATAAATATGTTCATATGGAGCCTATGAGATACAAAGTGCAACTTTATCTTGGCTTAATTTCAGATTTCTACTAAAGTGTGAAATTTACCAAGTATTACTGACCTTTTTTGGGGGGGGGGAATCGGACTAGATGACTTACAATTTCCCTTCCAACTCTGTTATTCTTATTCTAAAAAAGCTCCCCTAATTGCAGTTATGAATGATGAAATGCAAAATTCAAAACGATCAGAAGAAAGGAGGAGTCAAGAGTTTTGCAGCCACCAAAACCCTCAATTTTAGCCACAGGTGTTAACAGAGATAAGCGTCTGGCATTGAGGCCATCATTCTGAAGTTTATGATTTTAACATCATGCTGAAAATATTGTATTTTTCAGAGTATAAGATGCACTTTTCCCCCCTAAAAGAGGGTGAAAATTTGGGTGCGTCTTATACACCGAATGTAGCCCCACCCACCCGCCGGCCCCCACCCGCCGGCCCCCACCCTTTGGCCTCTGCCTCCCAGCAATTTGCCTCCTTGCAGCAAATAGCAAACAGCCCGTTTCAGCTTCAGCACAGCCTGATTAGCACAAGCAGCTGATTGTCAGTTGGATCGGCCTCCCGACCATCAGCTGTTTCAAGCTGCTGGAATTGCCATTGTCTATTGCTGCATTTTCGGCCTCTGCTGTTTGCTGTTTGCTGCAAGGAGACAAATTGCTGGGAGGCAGAGGCAGATTTTTTTTTTCTTGTTTTCCTCCCCAAAAAAGGTAGGTGCGTCTTATATTCTGGAGCGTCTTATACTTATACCATATATAAAAATACGGTTCTTTCTGATGTTGATGGTGAAGGGAAACAGTAATAAGGATATAATAAATATATCTTTGGCATTCTGGTGACTCAAGTATATTTTGGGACCTTACAATGGCTTGACTCATTTTAATATGCCCTGCTTTAGACAGTTTTATATATTCTTCAAAAAGATTCTAAGAGAAGAGTTGACTTTCTTGTTGTTGTAGAATCGCTACTGTTCTTGAGGAAGGCAGTAAGATAGCTTCCCAGATGGGCCAGAGGTTTCAGCCACGGGGATTGCAGTGAAGCTCAATTTTAAGGAGGAGAATCTGGAAAAAGGATGAAAAGGAAAAGAGGCAGAAGACTTTCTGGTCCCTGTCAGGTTCTCCCCAGGAAGAAAGAAGGATGGAAGATCAGATAAGGTTGCCTCGCTCCTTTTGCTTCTGATTCTTACAAAGGGTGCCAGCTAAAACTCCCTCCTGGAAGCTTCTTGTTTGATATCTACGGAGATTCTCCGTCCTCCAGGTCATGGTTGTCCCAAAGGTCCTTTTTCCAAGAGGCAACTGGACTTTTCTGGGTTTTTTTGAAGACGTTTCGCTTCTCATGCAAGAAGCTTCTTCAGCTCTGACTGGATGGTGGGGAATGGAAGGATTTATACTCCTTGCAGCTGGTCATTTGCATCCTTCTATTCTTCACCATCCTGTCAGAGCTGAAGAAGCTTCTTGGATGAGAAGTGAAACGTCTTCAAAGAAAAACCAGAAAAGTCCAGTTGCCTCTTGGAAAAAGCACTTTTGGGACATTCTTGTTTGATATGTTGTGCAAACTCAGATTCCTTGCAAAGCCAGAAAATCGGCGGGTACCTGTTTTCCTTTTCCGGAGTACCAGGCTGGGATCATTCAGGACCTGCTCCTCGTCATCGTGGTTGATGACTCGGCACTGCCGGAGGTAAGGCGTTATTCTGAAAGGGTCGATCACCGAAATCAGCTTCACACGGAAGCTTTCCAGGTTGTTCCAACAAGTTTCACCATCCTCATCCTCCGGGTCCGACATGGTGGAGGCAGAAAAGCCGAAGCTGAACTCAGGATCTTCTCAGAAAATGCAGGAGGGGGTTATCTCCAACTGGGAAGCAAATGGGACATTAGCAGAATAATATCTTCTTCATGAACTTTCCTTCCTTCCTTCCTTCCTTCCTTCCTTCCTTCCTTCCTTCCTTCCTTCCTTCCTTCCTTCCTTCCTTCCTTCCCCTCCCTATCTCCCATCCAAGTTGCCTCTGACATCATTACATCTCTCTCCCTCCCTCCCTCCCTCTCTCTCTTCCTCCCTCCCTCTCTCTCTCTCTCCCCCCATGTCCACTTTCTATCCATCTGTGTTTGCAAATATGTGAATAAACTTCTTTGCTGCTTTCAAGTTATTGTCTCGGGTAGTTCCATATGCAAACGTGCACTGTTTATAACAATTCTATTCCACTATTTCAATCAATCAACCGGAATAGAGCTGGAAGGGACCATGAAGGTCTTCTAGTCCAGCCCCCTGCTTAAGGAGGAGACCCTATACCCGTGATGCCGAACCTGTGGCTAATTCTGTCCACTGCCAGGAGTTCAATCTGTCCAGCGTGTGTTAGGACATCAGCTGTACATTCCTATGAATAACAGAATTTTGGTGTGCAATAATCTAATCTCTAGATCAGTGATGTCTAACCTTCTTGTTGTTGCGTGGCAAAAGCAAAGTGTGTGCAACCCCCTGCATGCACCCCGCCCCCTGCATGACTCCCATGCATGCACGCGTGACCCCTGTGCATGCACATGTGAGACACACATATGCACACAACTCCCCTGCGCTCCCATGCCCCCCACGTATGCATGCACAACCCCCCATGCTCCCCCGTGCATGCATGTGACCCCCCCATGCGTCCTGCCCTCCGCATTCACACGCAACCCCCGCGCATCCATGCAGGGCCCCGTGCATGCATGTGCAAACCCCCATGCATGCATGTGCATCTCCTGCATGTCCCCCGCCCCCCGTGCATGCGCGGCAGAGACCCGAAAAGCAGCTGGACGGCGGGAGGTGTGCGCACATGCCCGGTGGAGCTGATCTGGGGTGACGGCTCGTGTGCCCACAGGAGAGGTCTCTGCGTTCCACCTGTGGCACACATGCCATAGATTCACCATTACGGCTGTCAAGTATTTGCAAGCCATTGGCACATGTGTCATATAGACACCAGTGGAGGCAGAGAGTATCTCCACCCCTATGTGGAAAGGAGGGGCTTACCCTGAGTATAAAACCCCCTCCAACCTTTTCCACCTCGCTCTCTCCATCTCTCTCTTTTCATGTTTGTTCCTCTTGAGACTTGATCTCTGCGGTACATAGGTTTTTTTTGTTTTGTTTTTTTGCTTTTAATTTATATGCCGCCCTTCTCCGGAGACTCAGGGCGGCTTACAAGGCATTAAGCAATAGCCTTCATACTTTTGTATATTTTATACAAAGTCAGCTTATTGCCCCCACAAACTGGGTCCTCATTTTACCTACCTTAGAAAGGATGGAAGGCTGAGTCAACCTTGAGCCTGGTAAGATTCGAACCTGCAGTAATTGCAAGCAGCTGGTCTTAATAACAGTGCTTAGTCCACTGTACTATAGGCTCATAACTATAGTTAATATGATTTATCATATGAATAAATATGTTTAAGACATTTATTTATGCATCTGCTTCTGAACTCCTCTATGCTCCTGGGTATTTCTATGATCCCAAATTCCACAACGGCTCTAGATTCTAATATAATAAACAGAATAGCCAAAAGCCGTGCCATAGATGACCAGGGTTGTTCTTGGCACTGGCACAGCTTGGTAACTGATCTGCTTATTTCTCAGATTGATAGAGCTGCCCATCTGAGCAGAAGTGACTCTCGGCCGCATGCAACGATCCAAACAAACTAATATAAAAGCAATTATTCTAAATACAGCCAAAAAATATAGACATTTAGTATTAAAAACATGAAAACATTAAAATCCACAAACCAGAAATGTAGAGAGGATTATCCAGACATCACTGACAATAAGGGAATCACCTTAAATTGTAATCGCTTCCCCAGGACCTCGGAGCCTGGGGTGTAACCAGGGATGAAATGTAAAATTTGTTACTACCGGTTCTGTGGGCGTGGCTTGGTGGTGGTGGTGGGGTAATGTGACTGGGTGGGCGTGGCCAGCTTTTTTTTTTTTTTAACTTTTCAAAGCATTTTTTCTAATGCTTTGAAAAGCCTCTGCCGATCAGGCAACTCAGCTGGGATCGTCAGAGACTTTTCAAAGCATTTTTTTTACCACCTCTTCGGCCAAGAGGTTGCAGAAAAAAATGCTTTGAAAAGCCTCTGACGATCCCAGCTGAGCTGCGGGATCATCAGAGGCTTTTTTTTTTAACTTTTAAAAGCATTTTTTCGCCCAAAGATATTGTAGAAAAAATGCTTTTAAAAGTTAAAAAAAAAAAAGCCTCTGATGAGCGGGGTAAGCGAGCGGCGACCGGGTTGGGGATCGGTTCGGGGGCGTGGCCAGCCAATGTTATTACCGGTTCTCCGAACTACTACAAATTTTTACTACTGGCTCTTGCGAACCAGTGCGAACCGGGAGCACCCCACCACTATTCCAGATACTCTTCCAGGGCAGCTGTCAAGCCCGGATATCAGGAAACCCAGGCAGTCCAAAAGAATGTAAGGATTTATTGCAAGCTTAAATTTTATGTACACTAAGAGCATATGCACCAAGACAAATTCCTTGTGTGTCCAATCACACTTGGCCAATAAAAAATTCTATTCTTTTCTAAACTCTCTACAACTGTTCTGTCTCCGTCCCACACACACACACACACCAACAGACGTCCAAGAGTTAAAAACCAAACCAGCCGACAAAATCCTTATCCTTTTGATAACGGAACTTGGCAGCAACCTAGTGGCTGCCTGCCAAGAGTTTTTTACTCACAAAGGGAAGAGATAACTTCTCTCCGCCTTTGGTACATCAAAGTAAAATGTTTTTTAATTTTAATTTCCAATTTATATACCGCCCTTCTCCCTGAGGACTCAGGGCGGTGTACAGCCAAGATAAAAAACATAGAATACAAATATTGAAACATTTAAAAATATATATAAATTTTGGCCCGAAAGTTAAAAAAATCACAGACTGATTAAAAGAATTTAAAAATTTCTTCTTAAGCCAACCCGGCTTGCTGGAAAAGATGGGTTTTCAGGGAACAACGGAAGGCATTGAGGTCATGGATTCTCCTTATCTCCGGGGGCAACTGATTCCAGAGGGTAGGTGCCCCCACAGAGAAGGCCCTCCCCCTGGGGGCTACCAGCCTACATTGTTTGGCTGATGGCACCCTGAGGAGGCCCTCTCTGTGGGAGCGCACGGGTTGATGGGAGGTCATCGGTAGCAGCAGGCGGCCTCGCAGATAGCTAGGCCCTATGCCATGGACCGCTTTAAAGGTGGTAACCAACACCTTTGGTACATCAAAGTAAAATGTTCAATAATTACAGAGTAAATTAAGTCCAGTTCACAAATATAGTCCAGCAAAGCCTATAGCCAAAAGTCCGGTAATGCAGAATGGCGTGGAACCTTTCAGCTTTGTTCGTCACAAGGCTTGACTGGCCACCACGCTCCCTTTTATACCCTGTGGGGTGTGGTCCAGTGACTCAGCCTAATCTCTGGCACGCCTCCTCTTCTGTTGCGTGCGCTTATCTCTCCGACGCTGGCGTGGATCCAGCCAAGACTCATCCCCGTCACTGTCCGACTGCGCCTGCGCGGGGATACCTGGCTCCTGGCCAATCTCTGCTCCGTCGGGAGACACCTAAGGCATTGCCAGAGAGGAGGGTCCCGGAGAGGGAGACACGGCCTCTCCTTCCCTTTCGGAGCCTTCTTCCTCCGATAAGACGGGCTCGGGGGTCGGAGCCACAACAACAACAGGGATGTCAGACTCAAGGCCCGGGGGGCAGGATCTGGCCCACGGGGTGCTTAGATCTGGCTGGCAGGCCCGCCCTGGAGACAGTGAAGGACTGGCTCACGGTGTCCCTGCCAGCGAAAACAGAGGATTGCAGGAGCCAAAAACAGAATTTGAGAGCCTGTTTTCTCTGACAGACCATTAGGGCCACCACTGGCACCCCCGACATGAGTGACGTCGAGCTAGCCACCCCAATCCCAGCCCCCCTGAGGTCAAACACAACCTTGATGCGGCCCTCAATGAAATCGAGTTTGACACCCCTGCTCTACAAGAATCTGAATTACAAACAAATTGGTGGTGAATAAGAGTCAATGGAATTAAGATAGGATGGAATTAGATATCTTGTGGGTGTGAAGGGACTCGAGGCTGATGACGCGTTTGACTCCTCCCTCAGGCTCAGCCTGGCCATCTCGTACAGCAGCCCCATGTGGAATGCATTACAGTAGTCCAATCTGGAGGTGACTAGAAGTTCCCAGTCTAGGAACAGACAAAAGTGGTGCATGTGGCATGAAGCTGTGGTAATGCCCTCCTCCTAGCCACAACTGCCACTTGCTCTTTGATCAGAGATTAGATCAGTGTTTCTCAACCTTGGTAGCTTGAAGATGGGTGGACTTCAACTCCCAGAAACTGGGGATTCTGGGAGTTGAAGTCCACCCATCTTCAAGCTTCCAAGGTTGAGAAACACTGGATTAGATGAATCTCCCAACAGAAGGAATGGAAAGTGGGTGTGAAGAAAGTTTCCACAGCCTGACAAAAATATTCCTTTGGACACCCATTTTCCAGGCTGAGTCACTGAGAAGAGGAAGACAAAGGAAGCCAGCACCCTGTCTCAGGAGGGGAACTCCCTGTTTCTTCAGCCCGACTTCTCCCTCATTGTTTTTCTGACTCATTTACTCAGTGGGTAACTGATATTATGGTCACCCAGAATCAGAGGAAGGGTCATATGTGGAGATAGGTGTGATGGACAGAAGAGTGAGGAATATGAATTCTGACAAACATTTATTCTTGTCTTCATTTCTTTGCCTTAAAACAAACAATATAACAGCTTTTATTCCTTTTTGCTTTTTGCTATAATAGGGGATTTGCAATCCAGGCTTTCTTGATAGCATGGTGAGGGGGGCTGTGGTGGCAAGAGGGGAGG